TGGTCTAGGTGTTAGTAACGCAGTTAAGAATAAAGTGGACGAGAATTACTGCTTTCTGGACTTACATTCTAGACAATGAACAGAATACATGAGATGGTGACAAATGCTATGGAGAAAACTAAACCAGGGGAGAAGGTGTTAAGTGCGATGGTGAAGGCGAGAGAGCGAGCCAGTGTGCGTGCACTTGGCTGTCAGGCACACAGACAGCGATCCTGGGCAAGGAGCACCTGTGATCTTTGCCGCCAGGAGCCCATCAGAACCAGAATGGTTGGAGAGGGGTGGGAGGCACGGTGTGTCTGGAGAGAGGTCTCAAGAACTTTGGCTGTCTCCCCTGTGGGTGATTCTGAGCAGGGAGTGACACGACCCAATCCCGGAATGCTTTGGCAGCATCACTCTGGCAGCTTTGGCCTGCCAGGGCCAGGGGTGGCAGCAGGGAGACCAGGAAGGGCTGCTGGAGGGAGCCCAAAGCTGGGTGGAAAGAGGTGGCCAGATTCTGGACACGTTCAGGAACTTGATTCAGATCTGCCAGTGAGTGGGTCTTGGGATGTGAGAGGCAGAAGAATGACCTCTGAACAGATAAAACATGCAGGCTAATGCCCGCCTCACTGGTGGGAAAACTGAAGCTGAAAGAGCTGAAGTGACTTGCACCAAGGTCATTTAGTGAGGAAGCTAGTGAAGCAGCGACATCACCAAGGATTTTCACTCTAGGCGCCACGCCTTTCCCTCGTCCTTGTCGCTCACTTCCTGCCCCAGGCTTCTGCCCGCCTCCCCTCCCCCCCCCCCCCCCCCCCGCCAGGAAAGAGTCAGCTGAGCCATGAGCCCTTGCAGTCATCTTGCCTCCAGTGTCGCTAACTCCTTATCCGTGATGTTGAGACATTTGCTGTTGAAACCTCTTTTGTGATTAACCTCTGCCAGAGATGTCTTTTTTCTTTACTTTCACTTTTTCTTTTTCCTTTTTTTTTTAGACCAGGCCTTGCACTGTTGCCCAGGCTGGAGTGTGGTGGTGCAGTCAGCACTCACTGCACACGAGAAATTCTCGGCTCAAGCCATCCTCCCGCCTCAGCCTCCCGAGGAGCTGGGACTGCAGTGTGCCTACGCTGGCAGAGCTAGTCTGCTAAGTGTTTATGAGAGAAACGCAGAGAGCAGTCAGTATTTCCAGTCCACATCTCCTTCCAGAGGGTTTCCTCCTGGTTCCTCCTGTAAAGGTCTAACACTTTTCAATGGATTTCCCTTTTCATTAGACTCCTGTTAATTGCAGAGTTTTTTTCTTTACTGATTTTCACAGCAACAGCTAGATCAGATGGTCGAGAATCCTCCCTCGGAAAACACTGTTCAGTTCTTCGAAGTGTCATTTTCAGCGCTTTGCTCTGGGTGGGACGCCCCAGTGCCTTTATTTTACTGAGCTTCTCTTTTTTTTTCTTTTGGCTCAACCATGGTTTAAATGGTTGAGGAGAAATGCTTTGGATACCAGTCAGTGCCAGATCAGTGGTTGCTAAAATTGGAAGCTTCCTGCTGCTTTCGGCCTTAGAGACCCAGGGCTCGTGTGTATTCTCCTCACTCAGGAGCATCAGGATATCTCAGCCATTAAGCAGCCCTGTCCTTGAGCCTCATGGTCTGGGCAGCTGCTCCAGGGTTACAGAAGGCTTTTCTTCAGTGCTGTTTCCCTTGGAGTCTAAGACATAGTCATGCATGAAAAAAAAAAAACAACGATGTGCTTCCTCAAGACATCCCCAGCCGACCCCCAAACACACACACCAGGAACGCGCACTAGACTAGGTGACCTTCTGTTACCCACCTGTACGCACCCTGACCTAGCGTAAGAAGCAGAAGTTACATTTAAAACGACACATGCGTTGTACAGGTGTCGTTTCTCAGGCAGCACAGGTCTGGCTTTCTCAACACTCCAGCCACACCCCCATCAAGACAGACACGGATACACACACAACCGCCAGCTGGGCAGACGGATACACACGTGCACAGCGGGTTCCCTGCTGCCCACACACCTGTGCTCCCTGGGTGCACTCCCTTCTCCTGCGGGGCCAGGTCCCGCTGTGCCCCTGACAATACCGTCCCCTCTCCTGTAATCAGCAGGTCATAGAGCCAGGACCCAGAAGGCAGCGCCAGCCAAGGCTGTGGAGAGCTTTCTTCTGCCTCTTGGCTTTGTGCTCAGGTCTGGGAACTTACTCCTCCCCCAAACCCCCGTCTCTTGGACAGCTCACTTTGACGTTTCCTTCCCAGACACAGGCCCTGACCTTTCCTGACTAAGACTGGGGATGGGCCCAGGCAGGGGATTGGAGGTGGGCAGAGGGTGCCTGGCACCGTGTCGTCAGAGCTGGGAACCCTGACTTCATCCACACTGAGCACTCTTCCCCCGGCTTCCATTGTCAGCTCATCCAAGATTCCCTGGCTGTTGCAGTGTCCGGCACACCTGTCTGGCTGTTTTCACGGCTGGGGCGTAGGTGCAGACCTGTGGGCTATGTTTCACCGTGACACGTGCTGTCATGGAAGTAAGCAGCTGACTCCCCCTGGAATCACAGGAGGGTTCTGGAGAGGAGGCAATGGTGGCTGGGATGTGGGGGTTTCTTGGCGTGGGGGGCACTCCAGGCAGAGGGGGAAGCAAAGCCAGGGCCTGTGAGCAGACCTGGCTCCATGGGCACCCCTGAGAGGTGCTGTGTCCAGAGCTCAGGCTTGCACCTGAGCTCCCACCGCCAGGTGGGACGTGGCCTGACCAGTCTCAGAGGAGGGTCTGGGGCCCAGCTGGGAGAGGCGCCGCTGGCCGCACGTGCTTTCCGTCCGTCCTGCATCAAGTGCTCCATTCATTGCCGGTGTGTGACCGTGAACAACTCCTCTTCCTCATCACGCCCTGTCTGCGTTTAGCAAGGCAGACCTAAAACGCTGGTGCATGAAATACAGCTTCTGCAGTGTTGATTACTGTCCCCACTGTTGTGGCTCTTTTTTCCACGTTTATCATTGTTCCGGTGTCAGATTCCTAGGCTCTGTTGACAAAATCGGTTGTTTATGACAGGAGTGTGGCTGAAGTGATGAGGGGAGGGAAGGGAGGAGAGGCATGAGTGCAGCAGGAGGCCAAGCGCGGGGCGGGGCGGGGCGGGGCTAGACATGTGCCTCTGAGCGCCTGGCACATGACCAGTGCAGGTAAGATGGGATGTGCATGGAAAATGCAGGTTGGATTGATCTGAATATAAAACATGTCCCCAAGAAAGAATTCTTCAGTTAGAAACCAGACCCATCCTTTTCTAGTCAAGTCACGAGAAACATGGATTTGCCAAGTCCCTGAGAAAAGCCCGTGGTGTACGGTCCCAGGACCACCTTCAGGCAGCCCTCCGTCCTTCCCGGCACACGGCCTCTCCCTCAGGCTTCTGCGTTTTATTAAATCTCCAGGAAACCTGGAATTTTTCTGAAACATGCTTGACTGTGTCTCTGTTGCTGCAGGCATGAGCTTGGTCTCCTGACACGGATCCCAGTTCCTGATGTCATTTCCTGGGGCAGCTCCTGTTGCTGCCCATGCCCACTAACCTGTGTTCTCCCCAGCTGGCTTCCCTGGCCCCAGGCTCTGCCCATCAGCCCTTCCTCCATGTCCTCACAGAGTCTGTCATTAGCCCAGCCCTCATCATGCAGGACACTGTTACCATAGTAGCACTCTCCGTGGAGTTCCAGCTATGGTCCAGGGTGCTAGGGGTTACACACGCGTTCTGTGGGCTGATTCTTCAAAAAGAAGGACGTGAAGCTCAGAGGAATGAAGTCACTTGGTTTAGGTCCCATGCCCACAGAAGGGCAGGACCAGAATTCAGACCAGCCTCCGTGACCCTAAAATCTTTTTTCTTTCTGTAATGTGAGGGGACTCTACTCAGGCCCTGTGGCTTCCTTCCTCCAAAGCCCAGAAGAGCAGCCCAGGATGAGCTCTAGCCTGGGAGGCCCTTCCATGTGCCCCCAGTCTTTGCAGTCTCATCTTTCACAAGATGTGCGGGAGTCCATGGAGCATGTGCTTCGAATCAAGCCACCTTTGATTTGCAATCACAGGTCATCGCAGTGTTCTGAGTAGCCTGGCCCTCTTCCAGGCAGCCTTTCCCTGACTGGGGAGGTTCCCTTTCTCTTTAAAATCTTGCCACATGCTTTGGACTCTCCTTATTATATTCCTACTTCCCGGCTGGAGTCATCAATATTTGGGTTTCATTGTGTTCCCTTAAGGACGAGGGTTGTCTGTTGCATAGCTTTCTGTGCCTAGCACCTGACAGACATTCCGTGGGGAAAAATCGTGGTGGAGACATCCCTGAGCTTGCACAGGACGGCTGAGGCCATGAGTCTGAAAGAAGAGACTGCTCTGTGACAGACTGTTGGCTTTGCCAAGTGTGGCCCATTGTCCCAAGAAAGAAGATCTGATTACCAGGGTGGCCAATCAAAGCTGCGCCATCCTTAAAAGATATTTCTCTCTCTTTTCTGGTAAAAGTACTATATAATTCTGCATTCTCCTGAGTTCCAAGTCTTTCATAAATGGATGGAGAGGAAGAATGGCTGCACGTTTCCACTCGAGACACTATTGGGACCTATTGGTTTTAGTAGTACTGATGCCTTGCAGATAAAGGATGGAATCAGAACATTGGATTATCTTTTTCTTGTTCGTTACCTCCTCAGGCTTACCAGCACATTGCTTGACAGCATTATTATCTGCATTTATGTTGTTAATATCCACTTTGGAGCACAGACTTCCAATTAAATTGCACGTAATCCCTGATGGTCTTACCTTTGCAAATGGTGTTGCATTGGCAATACACTCTTTAACCTTCCACCTGTCAATCTCACACCTAACTGCAGCTCTTAACTTTGAGTAATGTATCATAGACATTTTCTAACAGTTTCTTATTCTGATTAAGATCCAGATGATTACCTCCCCTTGGGAGTATGTTATCAAATTGTTTCTTCAGATGAAAAAAATCTTGTTAGCTGTGTCTTTTAAATCATGCCTTTTGTTTTGCATGTTTTAGTTTCTTCAGATGGAGGTACTGAGCCCTCTGCCTTAGTGGATGACAATGGAAGTGAGGAAGACTTCAGCTATGAAGACCTCTGCCAGGCCAGCCCTCGGTACCTGCAGCCTGGCGGGGAGCAGCTGGCCATCAATGAGGTACTGGGATTCCACGAGACAGTGGCGGATACGGGATACCTGATTTTCAGGGTCCACAACCACTTCCAACTTTGTTCTCTAGTTCTTTACTAAGCATGTCCTAAAACCTGGAACTCTGATTAGAACAACACTGTGATGCACTTTGGGAGGCTGAGGCAGGTATACCATTTGAGGTCAGGAATTTAAGACCGGCCTGGCCAACATAGTGAAACCCCGTCTCTACTAAAAATACAAAAAATTAGGTAGGCGTAGTATGGAGCATGTGCTTCGAATCAAGCCACCTTTGATTTGCAATCAGAGGTCATCGCAGTGTTCTGAGTAGCCTGGCCCTCTTCCAGGCAGCCTTTCCCTGATTGGGGAGGTTCCCTTTCTCTTTAAAATCTCGCCACTCGCTTTGGACTCTCCTTATTGTATTCCTACTTCCCAGCTGGAGTCATCAATATTTGGGTTTCATTGCGTCCCCTTAAGGACAAGCGTTGTCTTATAATGAGCACCTATAATCCCAACGATTTGGGAGGCTGAGGCATGGAGAATTGCTTGAACGTGGGAAGCGGAGGTTGCAGTGAGCTGAGATCGCACCACTGCATTCCAGCCTGGGCGACAGAGCAAGACTCCATCTAATAAATAAATAAATAGTAACACTGCGATTCTCTGATATCATCCAGGAAAATGTATTTGATTAAGCTTTCTGGGTAGAGGCAGCTCATCTTCTTAGGTAAAGAGCAGCACCCATCAGTGAGTGCAGTCAGTGCTTTCCAATTGATGAAGGAATGCTCTTATCTCGTATAATTCTCACAGCTGATCTAAGACGTAGACGTTATGGCTGTTAGCCACATTTTCATCGGTGTTCTGAGACAAGTATGTCTAATTACTTGCTGGCGAATGGCAGAGCTGGAGATCCCCACATATATCTCCCTGCAAATCTGGTGGTCCTTCTGCCACCCTGCAGCTTCAGCCTTTTTTTTTTTTTTTTTTTTTTTTTGGAAATCATTCTGGAAGGTACCTCCAGCTTTTGGCGTTCTGGAGCATAACTCCTCAGTGAGTCAGCCTCTCCACTGAGATCGCCAGTGATGTGTGTCCTTGCGTGCTAAGGAGATGTGCAAAATCCCCTGCTCCTACGGCCAGAGGATGGAGGAGCCACATCTCTTCCTGACTTTTTCACTGTTAACTATCTCAAGATTATGCTATGTTCTCTTTAATTGCTGTGAACTAAAAAGCTGCAAAACTTACTCGAATTGTGAACCAAGTATGAGTGATCCACACGGGAGGGAGATGTGAGGAATGTCCAGTAGCCTGTGTGCATAGCTTTGGTAGGCTTGGCTCTGTGACATCTAGTATGGCTGCCCAGAAACCATTTTTGGAACAAATATTTCAGAATTTAAGTTCGCTAGATAACTGACCTGCTGCTAAGTGAGTGACTTACACTTTTTTAAAAAAGGGGCTTACCTGCCTGCCTCCCTCTCTCCCTCCCTCCCTCCCTCCCTCCCTTTTTTCTTGCGTTTCGCTCTTGTTGCCCAGGCTGGAGTGCAGTGGTGTAATCTCAGCTCACTGCAACCTCTGCCTCCCAGGTTCAAGTAATTCTGCGTCAGCCTCCCAAGTAGATGGAATTACAGGCATGTGCCACCATACCTGGCTAATTTGGTATTTTTAATAGAGATAGAGTTTCACCCTGTTGGTCGGGCTGGTCTGAAACCCTTGACCTCAGGTGATCCACCCACCTAGGCCTCCCAAAGTGCTGGGATTACAGGTATGAGCCACTGTGCCCAGCCTAAGGGCTTTCTTTAAAAGCAGGTAGAGATGCCCGCTTGACTTCATTTTTTCTTAGTCTGTTCTCCTGGGTTCTCTGTGTATAACCAGTCACACAGTCATTGTAGACCAAATGCCACCAGCATATCCAAGTGAGAGGACTCCAGCCCTGAGAGAGGCACCTAGCAGCCCCCTCACCGACCCACACCGCCTCACCTTTGTGCTGAGCACACCCCACCGTCTCCTTTCAGCTGATCAGTGATGGCAATGTGGTCTGCGCAGAAGCCCTGTGGGACCACGTGACCATGGATGACCAGGAACTGGGCTTCAAAGCTGGGGATGTCATCCAGGTTTTGGAAGCCTCCAACAAGGACTGGTGGTGGGGCCGCAGCGAAGATAAGGAGGCCTGGTTCCCTGCAAGCTTTGTCAGAGTAAGTGTGGGGCGCTTGCAGCTTTTCCAAAGTATCTGTAGGGGCAGGAGGATCCTTTCAGGTCAGAGCTCTCCCTTATCCAGGGTTAGCAGCACTTTTGTAATTGTTTGGAATCTGACGTGCAAGTCGCATCTATAAGAAATTAGGCTGGGTCGGAGCAAAAATGCTAAGGAAGGCAAGCAAGTTGCTCAGTGTTTCTCTGTGGTCCTGGTGCCTGCTGGCACAGCCATGGCCCTGCTGAGGCCACAAGACTCAGGTGAGGGCCAGGCTGCCTTCCCAACTGGTCACGGGAAGGTGCCGCCCTCCCCCACCCCAAGTCACCTGTCGCCTCTGTGTGGGTTGCAGTTGCGAGTGAATCAGGAAGAGCTGTCGGAAAACTCCAGCAGCACCCCCAGCGAGGAGCAGCACGAGGAGGCCAGCCAGAGCCGCCACAGACACTGCGAGAACAAGCAGCAGATGCGGACCAACGTCATCCGAGAGATCCTGGACACCGAGCGGGTGTACATCAAACACCTCAGGGACATCTGCGAGGTGGGACGCCAGGCCCGGACCTCACTGAGGGCCACAGTGGGAGGCTGCGGGAGGTGCCTGGGCTTTCTCCCACCTCCACCCCGCACCCCATCAGACTCCCACGTGTACACACTTGTCCGCTGCTCATTCCTCCGCCCCTGCTGTCTGCACTGCTAGGCCTGAGTGCTGCGGCTGTCCTAGCTGTTGGCGGAGGTTTTTTAGAGTTATGGTCTCTTTTCAGAGACGAGGCTTTTCTTAAAGATAGGGTCTTGCCCTGTCACCCAGACTGGAGTACAGTGGTGTCATTATAGCTCACTGCAATCTCAAACTCCTGAGCTTTAAGCAGTCCTCCCTCCTCAGCCTCCCGAGTAGCTAGGACTACAGTGATGCACCACCACGCTGAGCTAATTTTCTAAGTTGTATATAGAGACAGGGTTTCACTATGTTGCTCAGGCTGGTCACAAACTCTTGGACTCAAGTGATGCTACCGCCTTGCTTTCTCAAAGTGCTGGGATTAGAGGCAGGAGCTAGTGTGCCCGGTCCCTCTCTTAAGTGTACTCTGCAGCTGTCTCTATCAGGACCTAATTGCTGAGATTAGTCAAAAAGAATGGCTTTCATAAAAGGCAAAACCCTCACTTGACTTTACAAAGAGTCAAAAGGTTGGTCACTGTCTGTACACAACTGCATCTCGTTACTGACTCACGATGAGATCCTGAGTCATTTAGACACAGATGGGAAAAAATTCTGGATTTATATTGGTTATATCCAAGGCTATATACTAGTGTCATGCTATTCTATTTGGCAACAAATTCTATTTGATAGTCATGTCCTGATTTCAGAGAACTTGCTGTGAGTGGAGGTGCACCTGGAAGGGTCTTGTCCTCCCGTGGTATTTTGGGCTTCTGTGGATCATGCACGAGCATCACGCCACGCTGCTGTTCACCCTGTCTGCCCACTGCGGCCCTCGTGGCTGCGAATGCTGATGCCTGCCCTATCAATTCAGCGCTGACCATTCAGGGCTGAAGACAAGTTAAAGTCGGAGAATGCGTGTTCTCTAATCGGATTAGCCAGCCGAGTGGACATGCCAGTGTTGAGCTTCTGTGAGCCAGCCATCTCGTTCTGTATGAGTGTGTGGCGAAAGAAGCAGTTCTGCAGTGCCATTTATGGAAATGACAGGAGCTGCTCGTGATGATTGAGCATTGACTGTTTGGCACCCCTTACCTGGATTAATGCAGCTACCACAGCATTCTCACTGGGCCGGTCCTGTTAGTCACTGCTGCAGATGGGGAAACCAAGGCACAGAGAAGTGGTTGGATTTAAACCCAGGCAGTCTGCCCCAGAACGTGTCCTCCTCTGAACTATTAACATTATATTGTTTTCCTGTTAAAATTCATACCCAGGAGGCTGAGGCAGGAGAATTGCCGGAACCCGGGAGGTGGAGGTTGCGGTGAGCCAAGATCGCGCCATTGCACTCCAGCCTGGGTAACAAGAGCAAAACTCCGTCTCAAAAAAAAAAAAAAAAAATTCATACCAACTAGTCATTGGTATGTATTTTTGTCTATGCTCAGTTCATTCTATTGAATGATGTGATAACTCTGAGTTAGCTGTTACATGTATGTACTGCCTTTTCCTCTTATCCCACTAGCTCCTCTGAAGCCATAGTGTAGCCATGGTGTTGCACGTAGATTATTAATTAGTGCAGGCCTCAGATTAAAGATCCACAGATTGCTGCTGTCCATGGCAAGGCGATGCTGGTGGGGAAGAGGTTTTTGGCTCTGTGCCCTGACGGACCGTGCACAGAGCTGTGTGAGCTGTTCAGCAAGCATAACATTCTGCATTTGACAAGTCTCCTGGGCTGTAAAATGGAATTACGGATGGGAGAATGATTTTCTTAAAAGTTTGGAAAAGCATGTGACGACACTAATTTTTGAGTTTTGGTATTTGAAACTTGTTTCTGGAAACATTATCTGGTTTATTGGATCCTAAATCCAACCGCACGAGCCTTTTTGCTTTCGTATTTTAACACCTTCCTAACACCTATGGCAAATTGCAGTCACCGAAGTACGATGACCTCATCAGAAACCCATAGAGGTTAAAATAATTTTCTTTAATTAAAATTCATTCCAAGATCATGGCTTTGGGCCGACAAAAGCCATACTATTGAAATAATTTATTTGGATTTCAAATAAGAATGGTTGCTTCTGTGTCTTGCAGGGATACATCCGACAGTGCCGTAAGCACACAGCAATGTTCACTGGTGCGCAGCTCGCCACTATTTTTGGAAACATTGAAGACATTTACAAATTCCAAAGAAAGTTTCTGAAAGACCTTGAGAAACAGTACAACAAAGAGGAACCTCACTTAAGTGAAATAGGATCTTGCTTTCTCCAACATGTGCGTCACCTTGACTTCGTTATTCATAACATCTGGTTACATTGTTTGGAAATGCATGTCCACTAAATACAGGAGTCTCTTTCGTTTTATTGTTTGCTAGATGAATCTTCCATAGAAAGGAGATGTCTCTATCTTACATGGTTATCATATAAACTAAATCTATGATTAATCTTGTCTAAATGTCCCAAATTCATTTTTTCAAAATCCTTTTATGTAGTCTGGAATTAGGGGTTTACATGCGGAGTAATTACTCTTTAAAATTTTCCAAGAATTATGTTGTAAGAACTATGGAGTCCTTCCTAATAATATCCAGTAAGTGTGAATTACATTTCAGGCACTGTTTTCAGGGTTTTCTTTTATTGGCTTGTTTGTTGCTGTGAGGTAGGTATGATTATCTCTCCCACATCCTAGATGAGAAACTAAGGCCCAGAGCGTAAGTAACCCAGGGCCACACAGCAGTAAGAGGCAGCGGAGAAGGCAGACCCAGCACATGGCTGCAGCACCTGGGCTTCTATACTGTAACCATCCTGGAACCTTCCTTTGACAGTAACATGCATTTATCCCTTTTTAACTTACGATTGACTATTGCTTACCACTAAAGGATTTCAGAGGAAGATTTTAGTTCCAGCCCAGATAGCAAGGGAACAGTAAGAGTGGTAATAGTAACAATGGCAGGCTCACCACCTCCTTCACTTCCTGGGTGCTGGGCTCAGTGGCTGTCTAGAGTCCTCTGGGGCAGAAAGATTTTAAGTGGCTGGGCATAATGTTTTTGTGGTAGGTCAGTTGGAGGTTGGGCCCCATGGGTGACCTGGGCATATTTGGGACATTGTCACAGGCCTCCCTGTGTGGCCCGTGCAGAAGGTTCCTGCAGGAGTCAGGTCAGGCCAGGCTGGAGGCCAGGTGATGGCCCTAGGAAGGTGAGTCTCACAGTGAGGATGGGGGAGTTCTGCTGCCACCAAGGAGGGGGCCGTGGCAGGCCCAGCCAGGGTGACAGCAGGGAAATGCGAAAAGAAGTATGTTTTTTGAGGAAAACCCTGACGAGACTAGTTGCAAACCACAAAGAATAAGCAGCCATCAAAGCTGCCTGCATGGTTTTAGCTGAGTTGAAAGAATTTGTGGGAGGGCGACGTTAGAGGCCCTGCTCCCCCTGCTCCCCACCTTCCAGGGTGAGTGCGAGGCAGGCTGGAAGGAGACCAGGCTGCAGAGTCCTAGGGCAGCTTCACCCTCAACCCCCTCAGGAGCCTGCCAGAGCTCCCCTTCCTGCCAGCCCAGTACGCTTGTGGAAACCACGGCAGGGCAGCTTGGCCACCAGCAGATGTCATGGCCTGTCCTTGCAGAAGTCCATCTCCCTCCTTTCTAGGAGTGTCCCTTAGAGAGGGCTGAGATGCCGCTATCTTTGTCATGGCCCAGAGCCACCCCAGAAGCTGACGAAGCTGTCCTCTTTCTTCCCAGCAAGAGGGCTTTGCCATCTATTCCGAGTACTGCAATAACCACCCGGGTGCCTGCCTGGAGCTCGCCAACCTCATGAAGCAGGGCAAGTACAGACACTTCTTCGAAGCCTGCCGCCTGCTGCAGCAGATGATTGACATCGCCATCGACGGGTTCCTGCTCACCCCGGTGCAGAAGATCTGCAAATACCCGCTGCAGCTGGCTGAGCTGCTCAAGTATACCACGCAGGAACACAGGTGAGGGGCATTGGGCCAGGGGCACAGGTGAGGGGCTGTGGCGTCTTCCTGCAGGCAGCTCTTAACCCAAGCAGTGATAGGTGGGCGTCAGTGTCAATCTTAACAAACTGGGCGCTCCATGGGAGCAGTTTTCAGATTCTTGAGCCTGTGTGCAATTAACTATTGAAACAGTGATTGGAGAGGGTCCAGAACATCTGCTCCGAGAGCTGTGAAGACATGAGCATCCTTCGTGAGCTGTGCCGCGAGCTCGTGGGGACTTCTCTTGTGTTGTTACTCCTTATATTGCTTACCTGTATTTTATAAACGGCCTTTGCGTCCTCAGTGGTTAGTAAAGACCATTTCTGAGGGAAACAACCAGTGTGAACGGAAGGCCACGACTTCCGTTCTCTCCTGTACCCTTGACGTGGACGCAAGCAGCTCAGCTCAGAGCAGGATTCTTTATGGCAGAAACGTGACGTTATTTTGACTTACCCAAAGCTAGTTGTTGCTAAGCAATCTCCACTTAGCAACATAGAAGGGGTGAAGGCACACACAAGCTTGAGCTGTGAAGAGCATGGAATGTCGGGGGCAGGAGTCATACAGGGCTGCTGAGAAGACCAGGGCACTGGCTGCCCGCTGCGCCCTGAGCTGCTCCTTCCCCACCGGGGTGCCAGCTCCCTGCTCTTCTCCCCGTTCCCTCCTCTTGGGAGCACAGGGCTTCCTTCCATGCATACCTGAACGTTGCGTCTCCCTTCGAGCTTCCTTGGCACCTAACCAAGCTCTTCTTACCCACAACACTTCTGCTGTTTGAATCTCAGCTTCTCCTGAACGACAAGCAACACACTACACACCGTCTCCGTCTTTGTGATCTGCCGTGGTTATTTCTGGATTCTTCTCAGGCCCTTGTTCTTTAGCCATATGATCTCTTCCGGGGAAGCCAAAAGTTATTCTTTGTTCCCTTAATAGCCAGCTGTCATTTCATGTGTGCATAGAAGCTTTTGTGTGGTTATACGTCAGGCATGTCACTTATTCAGCATTGGAATGTGCATGCCCATTTTCCATGCCAGGGGAAAGTGTCCCCACAGTGCAGCCCACCTGTTTGGTGCCTGGCTAGCAGTGCTTGGCTAATTGCTGAGTCCTCACCTGGCCAGCAGGGACAGGACAGTCATAGAGCAGCTCCTATGTGCCAGGCTCCAAGCTAGGCCACACCAGGGTGCAAGGGTCTAGGCCAGGCGTCCCCAAACTTTTTACACAGGGGGCCAGTTCACTGTCCCTCAGACCGTTGGAGGGCTGCCACATACTGTGCTCCTCTCACTGACCACCAGTGAAAGAGGTGCCCCTTCCTGAAGTGCGGCGGGGGCCGGATAAATGGCCTCAGGGGGCCGCACGCGGGCCGTAGTTTGGGGATGCCTAGTCTAGGCTAAAGCTGACTGTTTTAGATGAGAATCCAGCCAGGGTCCATGCCCCTGACACAAAGTCTTTACCTGTTCCTGCAGTGGCTCATCACAGAGGGTCCTAATGAGAAGAGGAAGAGGGAAGGGACTGTACCAGGAGGAAATTTCTATGGCAAACCACAACAGTTATCAGTTTCAGCAGCTAAATGTCTCCCTGCAGGCAGTGGAGAGTGAGTCATTATTCTTTTGTCCTCTCTGTCTCTGAACTCCTGTGAAGAGACAGACTTGTAAAGGGAAGCTTCTGGCCGGGCGCAGTGGCTCACACCTGTAATTGCAGCACTTCGAGAGGCCGAGATGCGTGGATTCCCTGAGGTCAGGAGTTTGAAACCAGCCTGGCCAACATGGTTAAAACCCTGTCTCTACTAAATCACAAAAATCAGCCAGACGTGCTGGTGGGTGCCTGTAACCCTAGCTACTAGGCACAGCTGAGGCACGAGAATCACTTGAACCCCAGAGGCGGAGATTGCAGTGAGCCAAGATCGCAACACTGCATTCTAGCCAGAGCGGGACTTTGTCTCAAAAAAAAAAAAAAAAAAAAAAAGAATGGAGCCTTCTTACAATTAGATTGGTAGATTGGAAAGTAAAGAATAAGAATGAGAGCAGGTCACAGAACAATAGACTCTAGATATGGGTGTTAACTTAGAGTTAGAACTAAGGGAGTTAGAGAAAGCAGTTCATTGAGATCGATAAAAGAAGAGAGAGCTATATATTTTTTTCTTATTCTGATGGAGAAATCAGAAAAGTTCTCTGGAAAAAAAAATAGAGAAGTCAAGAAAGCCACAAAATTGAAGAGAAAAATATTCTTTAGTTGTAAATATCTTTTACAAGTTTTTGAAGACATTTTTAAGAAAATATCTTGATGGCAAGATGAGGAGCCCAGTGCCAGAGACAATAAGTAAGAGAAGAAAGAAGCAAAGACTTCTTGAAAGATGTGGGCAGGCAGCTTCGTACGTTCTGAGCAGGGAAAGCTGGGTCCAGAAGCCCACACCTCACTCTTCAGTAGTTGCTTATTCTCCTTTAAGGGCATTTTTCACCAGAAGCATTTGCAAATTTTGGCTTTTTCAAAATAAAAATTAGTCAGCATAACAAAAAGTTCATTTCCTTGTCTTAAGTAAAACAAAGCAAAAAATCTTTTTAAAAAAATCATTACAACTCAGTTCTGTCCAGAAAAACGTAATGTGCACCCTTTCTTCATTGCTGGAGGCCTCTTTGGGGGCTCTGTGTCCATGATTTTGGCAACCCCTGGTGTCATTCTTGCCCCTGCTCTCTGCCCCACTTCTGAGTGTGAATGGGCCTCTCTGAAGACAGCAGGTCTGCTTAGTGTGGGCAGTGTCTGGGGACTTCCCAGGAGCTGAGTTGAATTGTGTTTGGTAAATAGACAATAGAATCTGCTTTCAAGGCTTTCCCATGGTTGAGCAGAAGGATTCTCATTCATTCTGGCTGTGGTGCAGTGGCCCTGTCTGTCCCCTAAGTTGCCAGGGGAAAGTAGAAAATGCAGCTCGTTAGCTGGATGGTTGGACTTTCCGGCCCCCCGTTATTAACGCTGAGCAAAACCTGAATGTGAAGCTTGCAGATACTGGACATGCACTGTGCCGGCCTGTGTGTAGACTGGAACTGTAGCTTCTGCTCTTCCTGTGCCTACAATTTTAGTGGGTTTGGGAGCAGGAGCCTGCTGGGGTGAACACTTTAGCTTGGCGTGACCGTGGCGGATGGAAAGCACCAGAAAGGAGCGTGTGTTGGTGAGGCGAACGCAATGCCAGCATTCCATAACGCACCACTTCAGACTCCTGTCCTCTCCTCTCCTTTCCCAAACAGCATAAAAGATGAGACTCAGAGCAAATCGTCACCCTTGGAAACGGTTAGTGATTTTTCAAGTGCTTTGTGTAACAAGAGTAGTTGTATGAGAATCAAAGCCATAAGAGAGGTGTCCTTTCTGTGTTAATGAAAGTTGCCCATTGTCACCGTGACTAAAACTTATTTACTGTGGCATTTACTGTCATTCATTGTGATTTCTGGGAAATGAGTGAAAACATTTTTATTCCAAAGAATTCTGAAATGCATTGGGTCAGCTCCCTTAACCTATGCAGACTGTAGTCCATTCACGGGCGAACAAGAAAAAGGGAAGCAGTGGCTGTGATGTAAATGCCAGCTTGTCTATTCAGTCGTATAGGAAGAAGCGCCCCCGTGAGTTATTTTGCCAGTCCTCATTTGTAAGGTGCATGCCATGCGATTAATACGAACCTCCCCTCTTGCAGTGATTACAGCAACATCAAGGCAGCGTATGAGGCCATGAAGAATGTGGCTTGTCTGATCAATGAGCGGAAGCGCAAGCTGGAGAGCATCGACAAGATAGCTCGCTGGCAGGTGTCCATCGTGGGCTGGGAGGTAAGTGGGAACTACCCCGCGTGACCCCATGCCACTGGCCCTTCCTGCACCTTTGATGTGGTACAGACACACTTTAAAATCCTATGAGTACCTTATATTTTTGGCTTTAATAGTGTGTATACCATTAATGGTAAATGTATTTCGAGGCGTGTTGAATTTCACAATCAATTACTTTATACCCGATGCCTATAAGAAATAAAATCTGAAGAGTGTCTGCAGTTAACTTTTTGCTAAGCCTCTGTCTCTCCTGATAGAGGGAGCTCCATGGAAACAGTAGAGGACAATTCAGATGCAGACACATAATATAGTAGTAGAAGTATGGGAGGCCAGGTGCGGTGGCTCACGCCTGTAATCCCAGCACTTTGGGAGGCTGAGGCAGGTGGATCACGAGGTCGAGAGATCGAGACCATCCTGGTCAACATGGTGAAACCCCGTCTCTACTAAAAATACAAAAAAAATTAGCTGGGCCTGGTGGCCCATGCCTGTAATCCCAGCTACTCAGGAGGCTGAGGCAGGAGAATTGCCTGAACCCAGGAGGCAGAGGTTGCGGTGAGCCGAGATCGCGCCATTGCACTCCAGCCTGGGTAACAAGAGCGAACTCCATCTCAAAAAAAAAAAAAAAAAAAAAAAAAAAAGTATGGGGACTCTGGAGCCCCTGCTCACATGTGAATCCTATACGATCTGGGCAAGATTAATTTTTTTATCTTATCAGTTGTGGAGGAAAATATTAGCTACCTCATAGGCTACCGGGAGCACATTATAAGACAGTATAGGCCAGTCACAGCAGCTCACACCTGTAATCCCAACACTTTGGGAGGCCAAAGTGTGAGAATCGCAAGAGCCCAGGAGTTTGAGACTAGCCTGGGCAACATGCCAAGACCCTATCTTTACAAAAATTTCAAAAATTCAGCTGGGCGTGGTGGCATAACCTGAAGTCCTGGCTACTCAGGAGGCTGAGTTGGAAGGATCACTTGAACCTAGGAGGTTGAGGCTGCAGTGAGCCTAGATCACGCCACTGCATTCTAGCCTGGGTAACAGCAAGACTCCATCTCAAAGAGAAGACAGTACAAATACAGTGCCTATAATAATGGTCCAACAAATACTCTCACTCTCTCTCTCTCTCTCTTTATAAAAACAACAGTGATAATAGCTAGTACCTGTATGTGTTTACCACGTTTGGCTGGCACTGGTCTGAACCATTTGTACATACATGAACTCATTTAACCTCTCCACAATTCTATGAAGTAAGCACCATTATTATACCCATTTAACAGATGAGAAAACTGAAGCACAGAAAGGTTAAATAACTTGCCTAAGACCACACAGCTCAAAAGTAGCCGAGGTGGACTCAAACCCAGGCAAGCACCCTGGCTTCCAAGTCCATGCTGGTGACTACTGAGCTCTACTGTCATTATGAAGAACAAGCGGATGCCACTCAGATTGTTTTTAGACCAAGCTACATTGATTTTACATCTATTATTTAATTGGTCAGAACCCACTGTCTAGAGCATTGAGAAAGTTTGGAGCAAGAAGTTAGGTTATAGATGGTAAAAATTAGAAACACGTACATTTCAAGGGCCTTACGGACTTCTGGTGCTTGGGCAGGATCTCAGAGAACACTGAGTCCAACTGTCTTATTTCGTAAGTGAAGAATCTAGGGCACAGAATTGCTCTGAGCAAGTAAATAGAACTGTTTTGGAGTCAGGCTCTTTTGGCTCCAAAAAATATTGTGTATGAGTAGAATTAAGGGAGAATCTAATCTTACATAACGAGGGCCAGTGTCATACAAAATACCATAAAGTAACACTGGATTAGATTCCATCTAAGTATTGTGAGGGGTGGGTTCTTTCTGATTTTGGACACTGACGTTTAGGGGGATAATTTGTCAGAAGTCAATTTCTTGCTGACGAGTTACCAAAGGGCCTTTCATTTCTATAATCCTAAACAAGTTACAAACAAGTTGCATTTCCAGGGAGCTGCCATACATTCACACAGATGGCAGCTCCATAATCACGGTCCTGTGTCCCCTACATGAACACTTCGTTACATGTAAGCCTGGTGTACTCTCATTCTTGGAGGCTCGTTTGGGTCAGCTGCTGTTTCAGATCTTGACTGAGTTTCATTAATTCACCATGCTGCTTACCGGAGGCTTCAGGCAAGGAAGATCCCTCAGCTAACACAGAGGCACCATCACATTTTCCTAGTGAGTAGGAAAAAAAGAAATGAAATTTCAGATACCAGGAGACCAGTAAACCCAGATTTATTAATAAATAACCTGTGAGGCCGGGCGCGTTGGCTCACGCCTGTAATCCCAGCACTTTGGGAGGCCGAGGCGGGTGGATCACGAGGTCAAGAGATCGAGACCATCCTGGTCAACATGGTGAAACCCCGTCTCTACTAAAAATACAAAAAATTAGCTGGGCATGGTGGCGCGTGCCTGTAATCCCAGCTACTCAGGAGGCTGAGACAGGAGAATTGCCTGAACCCAGGAGGGGGAGGTTGTGGTGAGCCGAGACCGCGCCATTGCACTCCAGCCTGGGTAACAAGAGTGAAACTCCATCTCAATAAATAAATAAATAAATAAATAAATAAATAAATAAATAAATAACTTGTGAGGCCCTGCCCGCTTGTGAATGGGGACAGGTGGCAGGCAGTCTCAGGTAACTAGACAATCTGAGAAGCATTCTGTGTCAGGAGTTTCTTCCACCCAAGGAATCAGAATTTGGAGTTTTTCGTGTTGTTTGTTTTGATTTGTTTTGTTTTTTAAGAGAAGGGTCTTGCTGTGCCCCTCAGGCTGGAGTGTACTGGCATGGTCACCACTCACTGCAGCCTCACACTCCTGGGCTCAGGGGATCCTCCCTCCATCAGCCTCTGTGTAGCTAAGACTACAGGCGTGTGCCACCATGCCCGGATAATTTTTAAAATTTTAAGTAGAGATCGGGTCTTGTTGTGTTTGCTCAGACTGGTCTCAAAAGTCCTGGCCTCAAACGATCCTCCCACCTTGGCTTTCTAAGTGGCTAGGACTACAGCTGTGCTAGAATCGGAAGATCTTCAGGTGTGTTTTCATCCTTCCAGGGACTGGATATCTTAGACCGAAGCTCAGAATTGATTCATTCTGGGGAACTGACCAAAATCACGAAGCAGGGCAAGAACCAGCAGCGGACGTTCTTCCTGTTTGACCACCAGCTGGTGTCCTGTAAGAAGGACCTGCTGCGCAGGGACATGCTGTACTACAAGGGCCGGCTGGACATGGATGACGTGGCGCTCGTGGACGTGGAGGACGGGCGTGACAAGGACTGCAACCTCAGCGTGAAAAATGCCTTCAAGCTTGTCAGCAGGACCACGGATGAGGTTCATCTGTTTTGTGCCAAAAAACTAGAAGACAAGGCAAGATGGCTGCAGGCCTGTGCAGATGAAAGGAGGCGGGTGCAGGAGGACCAGGAGTTGGGTGAGCAGCCCGTGGCCCCGCAGGCGCCTTTGCCTCTGCTTGCTGGAATAGCTTCCTTCTCCAGCCCCATGGGCCTGCCCTGCCCAGCCTTCTCCCTCAGCGGGGGAAAGGCGGGATCTGCAAACCCTGACTACTCTGAATGTGCTTACGAGACAGACCGTTGTCAGATGTAGTTACTCCAGGCAACATTTATTCACTATTTACCTTGTGCCAGATATTCTGTGGCCCATTTGTAGAGATTGTCTCATTGAATCCCTATGCAGTGGTTACTGTTGTTATACCCACTTTATAGGCGAGAAAATTGAGGCTTATGGAACTGGCCCACTCTGGCACTGTGGCTACATAACACTTAAATCGAGCACTTTGGATGCCACATGCAGGGTATGAAGAATAAATAAATAATAAAACCAGCTCACGGTGACCCCAGAGATGGAGCCCCGCTGTGGTGACCATCACTCAGGCCATCAGAAGCATCACGTGATTCTGGAGGCCTCGGCCTCCCCTTGGGCTGTGCCTGTGCAGTACGTTCATTGTGCCTCACTACCACAGAGGACCCACACCCAGCAGCCCGCCTGCACACTCCCATCTCTCCCTATGAAACTGGGTGCCGTGCCATCCATTGCAGTTAAGGCGACGACCCTTTACCCCCAGTGTTAAATTCCTACTTCTTTGGTTTGTCTTCCCAGCTTCTGCTGACCTGGAGGTCCCGTGTGGCCCCATGAAACCCAAGCCGCCATGCCTGGCATTAATGATGGCAGCACCCACAGTCTCTGAGCCCCCCTTTCAGTGCCTCCCAAGCTCTTTAGGGTTTTGAGCACAATCTGTTAAATGGAAGTCAGGGTGCCACAGTGGAGGATATTCATCTCTGCAGCCCAAGTGAGCCCAGCCCTCAAAAGCCGTGGTCCAGGATGGAGCAGGGCCAGCACACACCCCTCCCCACCCTTGCCCACTGCCATGACGATGGTGGAACTGAAAACCAGGAGGTGCTTTTTCTGCCCTTCCCAGCCACTGGCTCTAAGCTTGGCTACAGAATTGGGTCTCACCCACGGGAGGTTTTGTGAGATCCGGCAGTGGAGTTGGAGGGATTTACAAGTCGGTCAGGCTAAAGCAAAGCTGGGATCCATCTAGTTGGAAACACTCACTGGGTGGACGCTGGCCTGGACTTGGGCCACTCCAAGATACAGAGCTCCCCACATCACAGGCAGCCCCTTACACCAAGTGTCAGGGTGTCCTTCAGACTAAGAGGAAATCTCATTCCCAGCAACGGCCATCAATGATTGGTACAGACTCTAGGGCCGCACTGGAACAGGGCTAATCATTCTCTCATGCCCAGGATTCATTTGCAGATGACCGTTACTAAAATGCAAAACGCAGAGTCACAAAATCTTAGTTTTACTCGTCATATGATGTTGTCTAGTGCAGGCCCTGAAGTCATCTGTAAGTCAGAGTGTTTGGATTCCCGAAGATGGCACTATTTATAGGGGGTGGGGGGGGGGGCATCCTACACAGTTTCAATGGTACCTCTCAATAGAAAGGAAAGGAGGGACCTGATGTGAAGCCCTTTACCCTGCGATGCTCCCCGTGCCCGATGTCAGGACAGTCCAGGACAGATGGTGGGCATGCGAAGGAGTCACGGCCAGGGGAGCATAGTGGGCAGAGGTAGAGAGGGAGCCTCAGGAGCAAGTGAGACAGCATGAGTCACAGACACAGGGCCGGGGTCAGCTGTGCCAAGCTGGGGCGATGACGAGCCTCCAGGAAGAAGGCTTCCTGCGGGAGGAGGCAGGGCCCCAGCACCCAGCCCTGGCCACTCCGCTGTCTTTCTTCCTTCTTCCCCATGTCCTGTCAGGCTAAGGGTTGCCTCATCTCATCATTTGCAGTGACTCTGGTTTCACCCAGTTCACACGCTGCACACAGACACTGTCACATGCTATGGGACTTTACAGTGAGGGAAGGCTCAGGACACACTGATACCACCAGGGTATAGAATCTGGTTCCCACTACTCATGTGATACCTTTGTTCAGGGTGGAACTTCTAACGTGCAAAGCTCTCACAGGATGTGGGCAAACAGGCCCTGGCACCCTTTCCTCTGCTCTTTCCTCCTGAGGCCTCATCATTTAGGGTTCTAGTTGGGGTGACCCTGTGTGAACGTTTGCCCAGGAGTGTCAGACTTCACGCAGACATTCTGCATCGTCATGAGCATCCCCCCAATTTCACTCTCCAAACTGTCCGAACAATTTGCAGGACAGTCACATGGCCACCTTGGTGATAATCCTTAGGACCTCCCCTTTTCTGATCTTCAGCCAGTCTGGGTTCTTTGTCTCAGGTTATGGGGATAACCTCAATGCTAATATGGGATGTGATGCAGGTTTTGCTCTGAAACATGTCCACGTGTTCTGAATATGTATCACATTTATTTCTAAATGCAGGAATGGAAATTTCAGAAAACCAGAAGAAACTTGCCATGTTAAATGCTCAAAAGGCAGGACATGGAAAGTCAAAAGGTAAGTTACGGGAAGGCTTTGTCTCCTTCATGCCTCTCGGTATTCTCATGAAAATGGGGAATATACCCCAAGTTGTCAGCCTGTGACCAGCTTGGAGCAAGGGGGGCAGGAGGCGGTAGAACCCAAAAGGGCAGGTCCAGAACAGGGGCAGGTGAAGGTGGCCTGCGTTTGGTCTTGAATGTGCGTCAGTGTTTGCTCCCATTGGAATGTGGGCGTAAGAAACCGTCAGAAGTGCTGCCAGAGGAATGGTGGGCCTCCTTGCCTGCCCGGGGGCCCTTCGCTCCCCTCCCTGGAGGGCTAATGCTGTGAGCCACCAGGTCACCCACGTCACCAGTCTGAGGCACACCAAGGGCTCTTGCATCTTCTGGGCATGAGAGAACAAAATCTCAAACCCCAAACCGTTTGCAGCTGTAGGCTGGAGACAGTCTCATGTAAGTAAGGGAAAGATGTAAAGGTTCGGTACGTCAGGCAAGGAGTTAGACAAAAAAAGACCTGTGAGCTGATTTAGGGCAGTGATTCCCTAACCTTCGTGCACGTTAGAATTCCCAGGCAGCTATTCACAATGCTGATGCACAGGCCGCATACCCAGGGGTTCTAATACACTAAGATTTGTCCACACTGCAGGTAATGCAGATGATCTGGCCCAACAGGAATTCAATAATAAGGATTTTTTTTTTTCCCCAAAAAATAGGTACTGCATTCTTAGAAACTTTATTCCAGTCATCTTTCTACTTTAAAAGGGATTTACTGGCCAGGCGCGGTGGCTCATGCCTGTAATTCCAGCACTTTGGGAGGCGGAGGCGGGCGGAGCACGAGCTCAAGATTGCCATTATTCTGGCCAACATGGTGAAACTCCGTCTCTACTAAAAATACAAAACAAAACCAAAAAATCACCTGGGCGTTGTGGCACGTGCCTATAGTTCCAGCTACTTGGGAAGCTGAGGCAGGAGAATCGCTTGAAGGAGGCAGGGGTAGTGAGCCGAGATCATACCACTGTACTCCAGCCTGGCAGCAGAGCAAGACTCTCTCACAAAAAAAAAAAAAAAAAAAAAAAAAAAAGAGAGGGGAGGGGGAGGTTTGCCCTGTGAAATTTATCTCTTTTGGTATTTTCCTGACTGCAAGTGCAAAAACAGGGACAATGAATCCCAGAACTGCAATAGGCCACCGACTAAAGAGCCAGGAAGAACTCATTCCCCAGATCACACTTAGCACTCCTGTTTCCTCCATGCAAATGCAGAATTTCTTTTCCCCACTAAGTTACAAATAACTTTTAAGACAGAAAATCCCATGTTATTTTTTTTTAAATTTCCACTTCCAATGTCAGATGACAGGTAAATCAGTTTTTAAGAACATTTTGTTTTCTGTCCGTATCTTCTGAGCGTCACTCACCCAGCAGCCGAGCTCCTCAAGAACGGAAGGACTGCTGACATTGACAGGCGGCCACCGGGATGCCGGGCCTGGCTTTTCTGATTTCTTCCTTTCTGCCACCCTGGGAGATAGGGCGAGTCTTCTGGCAGGTCAGGGGCAGGGGCAGGTTCTGAACCAAGGCCTGCCTGCTTCCAGAGCCAACCTTCTTCGTGCCATGCTGATGTTTACACAGTTATCTTTCGCTCTTAATTGCTAATTTTAATAAACCTTCTAAATTACCTCTGCACAGATTGAAAATCCCTACTCCAGTGAAGTTTTGATTAGTGTGATTAGGTATTGGGGGCACAGTTCTAAGCACTTGTATTAATTCATTTAATTCTCATAGCAACCCTTTAGGTACTGCAATCCCCATTTTAGGGATTGGGGAACCAGAGCACAGAGAAATCAAGTAATTTCCCCAGTAATCCCAGCTGAGAAATGGCGCAGAAGGATTTGGGCTGGGGCAGCGTGCGCTCCAGACTTCCGGTTAGAGCGTTTTATTGCTATTCACCTTGACTGCCAGTCTGGCTCAGATTCTGCCACGTCTTGCTGTGCGTCCCGGCAGTTTCTTTCTTTGTCAAGTTGTGGTCGTAATACCCTCGTTGGAGGCTTTTTGGGAGATTTCAGTGACAGAGACTGTGTCAAGCTCCACACAGAATACCTGAACATAACAAGTGTAGCTACTGAACCTTTTTTGGTTAATGTGAAGTAAGAATGAGCTCGCTACAAAAAATATATATAATTAGCTTGGGGTGGTGACATACACTTGAAGGTCTAGCTACTTGGGAGGCTGAGGTGGGAGGATCGCTTGAGCCTTTGAGGTAGAGGTTGCAGTGATCCAAGATCGCACTGCACTCCAGCCTGGGCAACAGAGTGAGACCCTGTGTCCAAAAAAAAAAAGCAAGCAAGCAAGAAAGAAAAATAATTAGCTAAGAACTTGGATTTGAAGTCTGAGCATTTTTATTTTTTTCCTTTTGGGTTAACAAGTGACCCTCAATCCCTGTTTCATCTCTCTCCCCTCCCGAGTTAGGCTACGGCGGGTGCCCCATGGCCCCACCACACCAGAGCCTACACCCTATCCACCAGCGCCATGTCACTGTGCCCACCAGCGTCCCCCAGCAGCAGGTCTTTGGCCTGGCAGAACCCAAGAGGAAGCCCTCGTTCTTCTGGCACACCTTCAATAGGCTCACTCCGTTCCGGAAATGAAAGCGGGAGGCCGCGCTTCCACGGAGGTGGCTGTCAAAAGGAGAACTGTCTTTGTTTCTGGTATCCTTCAATCCAGGGAAAGTTTCTTGGACCCAGTGATAAAAACGTCCTTTGTGGGATCAAGGAAGGAGAGAAAAGTCTTGGACTCACCTTCAGTCTTTGGAGACCCAGCTGCCTTTGCGGAAGGGAGGAGAAGGTCACAACACACAGCTTTATCCTGCACAGAAAGCCCCATGACCCGCTGTGCATGGCCGAGACGTGGGACTCAGTACCATGCTCTAGAGTGAATGGTGAGGTAGCAGCTGCAGCCACCCCTGCTACTGATGAGCACATGCCTGCTGCAGGTCCAAACACAGCGTCCAGGGCTTTGCAGTTCCTAAGAAGTGATGACGTTAGAGGATCGCTTCTGCATTCGATTTTCAAGGATGTCGTCGAGGCAGGGTTGAGGCAGTGCTGCGCATGTCTGCTCACACTTAGAAAGTGAGCTCTGGCTCCCTTCTGTAATCCTGGGGACCTGCAGCTGCCGTGGAGCCAACCGTGGTGTTCCCGGCATTGTCAGTGTCCACACAGATGATGAACGGTGGTAGCACAAACGTCGTCTTGCAAGTTTCCTCTTCCTGCAGGCGAAGGGGAGTGAAACACGGTATGTCTATCACCTTGCATCGCGGTCCTCAGTGCAGTGACTTACGCATCCTTAAGAATCCACGGCTTTTCAGGCAAGGAGGGAGAAATCCTACTGCGCGCTGGCTTTGTCTCAAAATCAGGTTCCCTCCTACCTGCACGCCCTGAGTAAATCCGAGTGGAAATCACGTCTAGCCCACACACTGTAACTTAAGAAACTGCCATTCAGGGCTGGGCACGGTGGCTCACACCTGTAATCCCAGCACTTTGGGAGGCCAAGGCAGGTGGATCACCTGAGGTCAGGAGTTCAAGACCAGCCTGGCTAACATGGCAAAACCCAGTCTGTACTAAAAATACAAAAGTTAGCTGGGTATGGTGATGCATGCCTGTAATCCCAGCTACTCAGGAGGCTGAGGCAGAAGAATCTCTTGAACCTGGGAGGTGGAGGTTGCAATGAGCCGACATCTCACCACTGCATTTCAGCCTGGGTGATAAAGCGAGACTCTGTCTCCGGGGGAAAAATAAAAAAAAAAAAACAAAGACTGCCATTCAGACAACTGTTTGCAATATAAAAGCTCATTTACTCTAATATATGTGATACCAGTGAACATGAAAATACACTGGTTGGAAAGCATTCTCAAAGAGCCGCACTGCTGCTGATGTCATTCTTACCAGTGAAATCTCAAAGACAGGCAAAGCAGTCCTGCTTCTTGGGAATCGGAAGGTGCCTTTATCACATAAGCCCAAACAGTGGGGCATAACTGCGCCACCTGAGCATGTCAGCAGGCTTCTGAGGACTTGTTCTTTATAAAAGGGACCTTTGCAAAATATCTAGGCTCAGAGATAGCAGTCTTTATTAACAAAGGCCACGTGGGCTGACACCTGCAGATAATCATCTCCTTTTTTTGTGTGTTGCATATTTTCATGACATAACTTTTAACCATGTCTAGAAAAGGCAGGCTCTGCAAGAAAGATGCCCTTTCAACCCACTCAGTGCCCTGGACAGGAGATACTGTGTTACACTGTTAGTGGATTTCTATTTGAGAAGCTCATTTTTGTATGCGACTCTCGGAAAGTTCTTTTTTCTAACAGGCCCGTGTTTGAGAATAAACAAATCTGCAATGTCAAAGACAAAGGTGTATTCAGACTCCAGGTGTGTGTTTCCTCCATTCTCCCCTGCAGCCCCGCGCATCCAGAGCCAGTCCCGAGGGGTGACATCATGCGTCAAGAAAAAAATGACATTGGCCCTCTCGGGTGGACCCTTGGAACATTCCGTGACAGCTGATGGCTGTGCTGTGCCACCTTGGCACACATGCTTAGGGCAGCATTGCCAAGGGTTACCATGCCCCATGGCTGACAGCCCCTGGGTTGCTTCTGTGGACTGTCATGGAGTCCTGAGTCTGGAGTCTCCTGAGACCGAAGCTGCTGCAGGAAGGAACTTCTGAAGAGGTGCTGTGGTGTGTCGGGGTGTGTGTGTTTCCTTCTTGAACAGACATGCCAACAGTAGTTGTGTTTATAGAACTGACCTTTTTACTAACAAAATACAGTGGTATATTTTGGAAGCTATACTCGATATGCTTTTCCTGCACACCTCAGCAATAACCGTAGGGGTCTCTGTGCTAGACTGGTTTGTCTGTACAGCATTTTGAACAAATTGTTTTAAATATAGTAAGAGAATTAGTTTAAGGAAGTAAAGAGAATCGTTTGCTTATGTTACATTTTCAGTGAGGATTCAGTTTAAGCCAAGAGTCACTCTTAGGGCTTCCATTTCCTAAATTATTCATGGGTAATGAAGAAATGCTTTACATTTTGTGGCCAGTCCTAATTTATTTTCCAGCTGAGCCCTAACCTCCGGTTCCCACCTACCTCCACAGACTTCCTAACACAGAATCATGAATACCAGGACGTGTTTTTGTTAAGTCGGGTTCAGTTCAAGTCCTGAGGTTGCCCCAGTCAGTTTTATACAGTGTGAGGGTCAGTCGATGAAATCTCCCTCCTAGGTAGATCCTACTTGGATGTACAGGTGATTTTGAAAACTGTTAACATTTTTAAAAGGTTAAAACATCCTTTGACTTCTTGAAAATCCGTATGTCTGACTTGGTTATTATGACCACGTGCCTGAGTTCTTCAAAGGATGGAAGGCTCAAGTATTCTCGTTTTCTGTTTGCCAGAATTCCTTCCTGATTTGAGTCACATGTTCCACTTGGAGAAAAAAGGGAACAGAGCGCCTCCTCATGGACAGTGTATGAAATTTCTTTGGGAATCTGGCTGACCCCAACCTCTGCCTTTCTCTCTTTTTAACCTTACATTACATAATATTATAGACAGGCCCAAAAAAGAAAAGATGACAACATTTTGATGAATTTCACCTATTCTTCACATCTCAGAATTTGTCACCTTTGTTGGAACACAGTTGAAATAGCCTGGGGTCAAAAGCAATCTTCTCAATTTTGATCATGCCTAAGACCTATTAACAACCTTGCAGTAGATTGTGAGCAATTATAAAATCGTAAAATTGAATGTTTGCAGAATCCTGGAGCAATAGCTTCCTTGGTCTTTGGCCTGGGAGGGCAGCACTAGTCTGCGGGAGCTTCCCTGGGATACCAGCCACATGGTTTATTTTCCTTAGATCTGATTTGTGTGTCCCATGGGTAGATCTAATTTTGTAAACATTTCGCCACCATCAAACACTATTTCTGAATATTGTGCCTTTTCATACCTAGCCTAGATAAAAATCGATCCCATGCTTGTTCAGGAACTCCCCACATTCTACATGACTATTATCTAGACACAAAAGGGCATTTAATTCAAAATTTGGTTCACAATGTAAATATTTTGTAAAAGCCAGCTGACCCAGCTTTTTACCAGGTGGAAATCTCTGCAAACCAAATTGCTGATATTCCTTCATACAGATGGACTTGGTGTCCTAGCCAGAATAGAACAGCATAATTACCTGGAGTTAGGGGGAGTATTTCTGTACTATTGCTTGTCAAGGAGAGAAGAAACCTACAAGTGTCCTTCAACGGACAATGCCAAGAAGTATGAAGAAATGTCCTTTCACTAACTCACAGGCCAGGGATTCGGGACCCAGGTCAGCTAGGTGAAACTGCTAGCAGACCCAGCTTTCCCGAAATAACCGAATCTGCAAACTATTCTCCCTATTGAAGTTTCCCTTGGCTAACGGTGTTGTTTTCAGGGTGCAATGAAAGTGGATTTCAAAAGGCTTTGGAAAAACAAGTGGAACATGACCTATCTTGAAGGAAAAATAGCAAAAGCTTAAATATTTGATGTAGGTTTACTTGACTACAACATACTTTACATTGTTGCCTTTACTTATCTCACAGGCATTAACATTCTGTATTTAGAAAATACTTCAACTATTTCTAATCTTTTTTTGTAAGTATTAGTGTCCATCCATTGTGTATGACTTGCTTATCCACTTTGCAAGGCTTTGGGCAACCTTTTAGCTCATTTACTTCAAGATGATATCTATATAGGTCAAAGGGTGGGACTTAACTGAGGAATTCGCTGTTGACAGCTGAGGTATGGTGTACAGGATTGATGTAACTTGATATGTATTTTTGTTGAAGTTTTTTGTAAAAAAAATTATTTACAATGTTATTTGATTTTTTAAATGCTGTGAATCTATATTTGTTGTTTTATATATTAAAATTAATTTGCCAAACTGGTTCTGGTGATGCATTTGAGTAGCAGCCTTTAGGAGGAGGAAGTGGAGAGCTGGGTGTGGGGGCTTCTGGGATTTCTAACTCCTCTGCGGCCCTGATGTCCCTGGACTTCATCTATGCAGGAGCTCCATGTAGCCACTGGGTATGTGTGGAAGAAGGAGGGCTCTAGGGCAGCCTAGGAGGGCCCCCTGGCTTGAGAAGCGTCCTTGGAGTAAGTGGGATGTGGAAGGGAGCGGTGGGATGTGGAAGGGAGCAGTGGGATGGGGCCGCTTTTGCTAGGGATGATGGAGAGGACAGAACAGACCGTGCCCTCTGACTGCCCCTGAAGGCGCGGCCCTGCTCACTAGGCCTTTGGGGTGGGTAGATGAGGATTTCCTTCTCTAATTAAACAGCTCAGAAAAGCTAAGTCAACAGCCCATTGTTTACCGTGGCCGTAATCAAAAAAGGATTCCTATGCAGGCTGCCAAGTGGCTACTCCCCACTTTTTGTTTACTCAACATCCACCTGCTTCCCAGAGTGACCTGCTCCCGCTCGGGTTGCACTGGGGAGGAGCGGTCGTTAGGGTGGGGCGGGGGCCAGCCCCAGAGCCCATAGGGCAGCGCATGGTGGCACCTTGTAGAGAGTGAAAGGGAGGGCGGTGGCATTTGGTTCCAGAAGAGTTGTGGGGAGTCGACCTAACAGAAGCGCGCCCCTACTCTGCACCGGCGAGGCGGGGAAGCTGGGGAGAACCGAGCTGAGCCTGGGCCACGCAGCCCCGGAGGCTGGAGGCGAAGCGCCCGCAAGATGGAGCCCTTTCCCCCGCGAGCAGGGGGCCAGGGTCCCGACTCCTGAGCCGGCTTCCCACGGACCCCAGGCCCAGGCAGGGTCCCGGATGGGTGCTAACAAAGCGGGGCCGCAGGTCAGGTTCCGGAAGCCTCTCCGCGGGGCTGGGCCGGAGTGCGCCCACGTGGGCGAGCCCGGCATGGGGAGGGCATGGCCGGCGGAGGCCCGAGGCTGGGCTTCCCTCGCTGGCTCCGACCGCAGCCTCCGGCTTTGTCGCGCTGCCGCGTAATGACCCCTAGGTTAGGGAGAAGCACTGAAGCAAAGGCATGAACATCACTTTGAAAAATAAACCTACGTGGCTCACGCCTGTAATCCAAGCACTTTGGAGCCCAAGGCGGGCGGATCACGTGGGTTCAGGAGTTCAAAACCAGCCTGACCAACATGGTGAAACCCTGTTTTTTTTTAAAAAAAAAAGAAAAAGAAAAGAAAAACCTGCCTGGGGCACTCCTTCCTGGCTCTGGTCCAGGCCGCAGGCTGCGCGGGCACGCCTGTCCCGGAGCTCCCCAGGGGCAGAGGCGCGGGAGGCTGGAAGGGGCCAGGCGGCGGGACAGGTGTCCCCAGCGGGAGGTCGGGGACGCGCATTTCGTCGGGGTCGCCTGCGGTGCGGGGGGTCGGAGGCGAGGCGAGGCGGGTCCAGGGCAGCCCGGTCAGAGCTGTTGAGAGCCCCCAGCCGCGCCGAGACTCAGGGGCTCCGTGCATTTAGCCACCCAGAGGCGTGGCGGTCTGTGGGGTGCCCGGGAGAAGCCAGATCCCGCTTATTTTACTAATTGGATCCCGCCGCATGGGCATTGTCACGTCCGCTGCACTGACGGGGAAACTGAGGCACGGTGCGAGTAAGGGGGGAGGGAGTTAGCGCCGCCGAGCTGGGGCACACCCCGCTCCCTCGTGGCCTCTGCTCCACCTCGGTGCTCCGCGGCACCTCTGGGAACTGGGCTGGGCTCCTCTGTCCTCTGGAAGAGATTCGTTAATTTTGGATAAACGTTACTAGATAGGAGGAAAGTGAACCCATGATTACAGCATTGAACAAATGGCTGCACCGCGTTCTCCGCGGTAGGTGGAGTGTGCGATTGTGAGTGAGAGCGGAATGGACACTGAACCCTTACCTACACAAACGCCGAAAATCGTAAGGAATGACGACACTGAAAATCTAATTAAGCGATAGAATTCTCATCGTCCGGGATCCAAATGAGACCCAGCCGCTGTCAATAGCCTTCAGTTTTGTAGTGTTGCCCCGTTAATTACCCCAGAGTCAGGGAGAAGCACTGAAGCAAAGCCTTGAACATCACTTAGAAAAAGAAACCTGCCTGGGTTTCTTCCTTCTGACTCCTCTAGAAGGTATTCGTTCCCTCATTTCATTCAAAAAGAGCTAACTTTTCTAAACACAGTGGTGCTGGTAGAAGATGCTACTTGACTCAAGTGTGGCTGTAATTCTTGAAGCTCTTCCAAGACATCTCGGCCTTCCCCTGTTCCCTCCCCTTCCTGCTATTTTGCAGACATATCCACTAGGGAGTTGTATGGCAGGAAGGCTGATTTTATTTAGCTGGCCCTTGATTCCTGGTTTGCACAGTACCTGGGTCCAGCCTGCAGTCCTGAGGTTCAGGTAAGTGCGTTACGAAGGGATTTCTTTACAGTCAATTTAAGGCATCTAGGTCCTAAAACAGCGCTTATATTATCTGTGGGATAATCCTGCTTAGTTATTTGCAAAAGAGTCAGATGTCTATAGAGTTTTGGGTAGGAAAGTGTAAGCCACTTTCAAAATTCATTCTTGTGGAAGAGGCTTTGGAGGAGATAAAAGCAGATTTTGAAATTCTTCTGCTAGAACTCTGCATTTGGCTAGGAGAGACAAAAACCATAGAATAAGTCATGAAAATACTGAATCTTTTTAAGAGAGCATTCTAGAGAAGCTTATAGAGTATTTTGCACAAATTTCAATGTATACTTTTTTCCTTGATCAGGTTTATCATATTCAAATTGCATACATTTTCATATTTATGGCTATGCTAATTTACAGTATAGGAAAAAAACCATCAATATATATTGAAGAAGAAATGTATAAAGTTACAATATAGAGAGTGCATGGAAGACAATGTATTTGATGAAAGCACCCTAGAGCTATTTGGACTCAGACTGTCAGAGCTGGGAGGGCGTTAGTTCATCCTTTCCAGTATAAGCAGGAGGAAGCTAAGGCTCTGAGGTTTGGAAACCCGGTAGAAATCACTCAGCTGATTTCTAGCAGGTTTGTATTAAATCTTAGTTTGGAGAAATTAAGAATCTTAAGAGTGATAACCTTGGCTGTTGAATTAAGGACACGATGTTCTTGGAGAAAATTAATCAGGAAGGGTACTGGGTGACCATTTCTCAAGAGATTCTTTAGCAAAGGACAAATACAGGTAAAGCGTAGAACAAGTCAGAATAAATGAACTAAATAAGAACCCATTCTGGGGGGACTAACATTAACTTCAAAGTTATTTGCAGTCTGTGTCCCTTTGCCCTGACCTAGCCAGTATGTCAGGCTCATGCGGGCACAGCGTTCTGCAGAATGATGGTCTCTTTTCTCTATACATTCATATAATATGAATGTATAAGGATCTTGTCTTGACCTGTCCGAGGCAGTGACTGTTGCCGCTTTTTTTTACATATATGACTGGGAGGGTTGTATGCCCAGTGAGGCCCCGGCAGCTGTCACTCTGGCTGACTACAGATGTCTGCAAACCTCCTCACTTCTGATGAGCACCACACCTCGGGCAGCGCACGCCTTGCGTTCGTCAGGAAGTGGGCTCAGCTGGGTGTCCCAGAGACCCCACACAACTGTGGCTTAGGCAAGGTAGAAGTCTATTTCTGTTTCATGTACTCATGTCAAAGATGTGCTGGCAGGACAGGTCTGGTCTGTGGAGTCATCTGAGGCCAGGGGTTTTTTTAATCCCCAAACTGTTGCCCTCCTTCAAGGAGTTGCACGTGGTTCACCACACCATGCACACCCCGACACGGGAAGTGGGAAAGGGCACCCCCTTACCCTTTAAGGCCAATCATTGCACACGATTACAAGCCTCACTTTGCCCATTCCCGTGGCCTGTAGTCTAGTTCCATGGTCATATCTAGGCTGCAAGGGAGGCTGAGGAGTGCAGTCTATCCTGGGCCACTGGGAACCCAGCTAAAACTTCTATTACTATGGACGAAGGCAAGAGGGCTGTGGGAGATAACTAGCAACTCCATGAAAGCACTGACAAGGATCAGAGTTGAGACCCAGTCACCTTCCCAAGTGGTGGTCCACGCACAGTTGGAACCAGGAGAGTATTTCTTGCATGCCTGCATTGATTCATTCAACAAATATTTGACTGAAAATAAGGTACTGAATAAGGCACTGAGAATAAGGAAGTGGAAAAAAGCAGTCACTATCTTCATAAAGCGCTAACCCAGGTTGATACCTACTAAGTGATCACTAGTCTAGGGGTGGTGCACAGAGTAAGTGGGGACTAGGGAGGACAGTAGTTCAGGTAAGAGAAGAGAGAGGGAGGAGGCGATTGCAGGGAAAGACGGGAGACAGAGAGGATCCGACTCTGGTGCCTTCTGGAAAAAGACCAGACCCAGAAATTGAAAGTTGAGAGTGTAACTGTGGTTGAATTAATGAAACTGAGAGTCCGACCCATAGCTTTGTGAGAGGCACGAAGGTACTTTTGTATTTTTTAAATAACAATCGAATTTCTTCTATATTCCTTGTACAAATCATCAATGTTCTACATTGAAGAAGAGGCTAAACTGGAGGTATCAACTTTCTAAATTTTCTTATCAAAAATAGTGCCAAGCCGGGTGATGGCCATATCTCTAATCCCAGCTGTTTGGGAGGCTGAGGCAGGAAGACCACTTTAGCCTAGAAGTTTGAGTCAAGCCTGTGCAACATCACAGGACTGCGTCTCTATAAACAAACAAACAAATAAGTAAGAAATAGTGCCACAACAGGCCGGGCACGGTGGCTCACGCCTGTAATCCCAGCACTTTGGGAGGCCGAGGCGGGTGCATCATGAGGTCAAGAGATCGAGACCATCCTGGTCAATATGGTGAAACCCCGTCTCTACTAAAAATACAAAAATTAGTGGCGCATGGTGGCGCACGTCTGTAGACCCAGCTACTAGGGAGGCTGAGGCAGGAGAATTGCTTGAACCCAGGAGGCGGAGGTTGCGGTGAGCCGAGATCGTGCCATTGCACTCCAGTCTGGGTAACAAGAGCGCAACTCCGTCTCAAAAAAAAAAAAAAAAAAAAGAAATAGTGCCACGACTTACTTTGCTGCGCCTTTGGGAGAACACATATTAGGTTAATCAAGATCATTTGTTGGAAGGTTGTCTACTTGCTGCATAAACAAGCTGGATAGAATCTACCTACATCAAGTAAGCAAAGCTAGTGAAAGAATTACAGAAGAATAGCTGTTTGCTTTTAGCCTGGCTCCTTCTTCTCCAGAGAGCAAAATGTAGTTTATCCTAACTTGACACTTTTTTAATCTTATGATCATTTTATTCCTGGAATCATTGTACTCCACGTTTTGAAAAGCTAAGAATGAAAATTACAGAACCCTCAACAAAGTTTGGTTGATGGAATTTAGATTTGACTGCTTCCCAGTCTGAGTTTAACAAAGGAGGCTGGTGTATATTTCTCCTGGAGTTCGTCTCCAAGAAAATGCAACTCGATTTCCTGAAATGGAGCGGATTTGTGACTTCACAGGGAAACATCTGCATTTCCTTTTCCAAAAATACTCCATTTGCACTGAACAGCACCGTGTGACACGTCCCCCAGATGGCAGTACAGTCCTTTGGATGACAGTCTTGCTGGTTTTCAAAATCTCTAGAAATATTTCTATAGGCACTGTAAAAAAAAAAAGTGTTTTTGTAAATGAAATGCTCCCATAACCATCCCCATTCTAAAGCAATCGTCTTCATTTACATATATTCACTTCAAGTTTTTGTAAATATTCATAGTCATAAGTACATTTATAATGTGCATGGCATTTTAGTCTATAATTAAAATTCAGCATGACATATGTAATTACACATTTCTGCATGACCTTCATAATTATTTCAGCAGCTACATACTATTACACACACTAAGACTTTCCCCTAGTGTTACATATTAAGTGGTGTGCACTTTTTCACTGTTATAGATAATGCTGCAGGTAAAGTCACACAATTGGCACACGGTTTTGGAATATTAAGAATTTTAGGGATAGGAATACAGGGCGAAAGACATAGATGTTTTTTGCTCTTGAATGTTTCCAGAAAGATGTGCAGATTTACATGGCTATCAGTGCTATGAGAGGATTTGGGTTTTGACCAGTTGCACTAGACCCCCGTTTTCGTTTTTCAAAATTCTAGAAGCGAGGTGCGGTGGCTCCAGCTTGTAACTCTAGCACTTTGGGAGATTGAGGTGGGAGGATTGCTTGAGCTCAGGAGGTCAAGAGCAGCCTGGGCAACAGAGTGAGACCCAGTCTCTCAAAAAAAAGAGGAAGGAAGGAAGGAAAGAAAAGAAAGAGAGGGAGTGAGGGAGTGGGAAAGAGAGAAAGAAAGAGTGAAAGAAATAGAGAAAGACAAGAAAGAGAAAAAGAGAGGGAGGGAGAGAGAGAAAGAGAAAGAAAAGCTGGGCACGATGGCTCACCTGTAATCCCAGCCCTTTGGGAGGCTGAGGTGGGCGGATCACCTGAGGTCAGGAGTTTGAGACCAGCCTGACCAATATGGTGAAACCCCATCTTAAAAAACAAAACAAAACAAAACAAAAAAGTTAAAAGACAAAGGCCGGGCGCGGTGGCTCACACCTGTAATCCCAGCCCTTTGGGAGGCAGAGGCAGGTGGATCACGAGGTCAAGAGATCGAGACCATCCTGGTCAACATGGTGAAACCCCGTCTCTACTAAAAATACAAAAAATTAGCTGGGCATGGTGGCACGTGCCTGTAATCCCAGCTACTCAGGAGGCTGAGGCAGGAGAATTGCCTGAGCCCAGGAGGTGGAGGTTGCGGTGAGCCTAGATTGCACCGTCACACTCCAGCCTGGGTAACAAGAGTGAAACTCTGTCTCAAAAAAAAAAAAAAAAAAAAGAAAGAAAAAGAAAAGAAAAGAAAAGAAAAAGGAGTAAGAAAGGAAATAAATAGATTAGGGCTGGGCACAGTGGCTCACACCTATAATCCCAGCACTTTGAGAGGCTGAGACAGGCAGATCGCCTGAGGTCAGGAGTTTGAGTCTAGCCTGGCTAACATGGTGAAACCTCATCTCTACTGAAAATACAAAAATGCCCTGGGCATGGTGGTGGCGCCTGTAATCCCAGCTACTCGGGTGGCTGAGGCAGGAGAATTGCTTGAACCCAGCAGGTGAAGTTGCAGTGACAGGAGATTGGCCATTGCACTCGAGCCTGGGTGACAAGAGCAAGACTCCACCTCAAAAAAAAAAAAAAAAAAAAAAAAAAAAATCACCGGATGTGATGACGCCTGTCTGTAGTCCCAGCTACTTGGGAGGTTGAGGCAGGAGGATTGCGTGAACTGGGTGGTCGAGACTACAGTGAGCTTTGATTGCGTGACTGTACTTCAGCCTGGGTGATGAGCAAGACCTTGTCTCCGAAAACTATAAATGTATATATCCCAAGACATCTCACATGATACCTTAATTTCATTCAACAAGTGTTTGTTCAATCTGCTGCTGCAAGTTTAATATTGAGTACTGGGAAGACAGTAATGAGGAAATACAGGCAGGCAGGGAGCCAGATTCTTCACCCTACAATTATATAAACGAATGTGAAGCCCCTGCCCTGACAGGCGCCGTGTAGGACAGGAACGTGGTGTCCGCAGCCTTGACGGGGAGCGCTGCTGAGTCAGGAGGTCCGACCGTTCACGTTTCATGTCCCTTCTGGGCCTTGCGTTCGCTGCTCCATCTTTTGCAGCACCGGCCAAGCGAGGTCTTAGCTCCTGCTCCTGCTGCGGCGGGACACCGCATGGGTAACCTGGGGTGGGGGCAGTGTCTACAGAGGAAGAGACTTGAAAACGCGCTTCTGAACTGCGTGACCTTTCCTGTGTGTGTGCGGCCTCCTAGAAAAACAAGACCCAGACTCAAAGAATACCTCTCATTACAGTAAGACTGCTTGGAATGCTCTACTATTTTTTCTTTTCCTTTTGCTTTTTTTTTTTTTTTTGAGACGGAGTTTCGCTCTTGTTACCCAGGCTGGAGTGCAATGGCGCGATCTCGGCTCACCACAACCTCCGCCTCCTGGGTTCAGGCAATTCTCCTGCCTCAGCCTCCTGAGTAACTGGGATTACAGGCAGTGCCACCATGCCCAGCTAATTTTTGTATTTTTAGTAGAGACGGGGTTTCACCATGTTGACCAGGATGGTCTCGATCTCTTGACCTCGTGATCCACCCGCCTCGGCCCCCCAAAGTGCTGGGATTATAGGCGTGAGCCACCGCGCCCGGCCTTCTTTTTCTTTCTTTCTTTCTTTTTTTTTGAGATGGAGCCTCCCTCTGTCGCTGAGGCTGGAGTGCAGTGGCGGGGTCTCGGCTCACTGCAATCTCTACCTCCTAGGTTCAAGCGATTCTCTTGCCTCAGCCTCCTGAGCAGCTGGGATTACAGGCTCGTGCTACCTCGCCCAGCTAATTTTTGTATTTTCAGTAGAGACAAGGCACCATGATGGCCAGGCTGGTCTCAAACTCCTGACCTCGTGATCTGCTTGCCTCAGCCTCCCAAAGTGTGGGGATTACAGGCGTGAGCCACGATGCCTGGCCTGCTTTACTATTTTTTTTTTTAATTTAATTTAATTGGCCGGGTGCAGTGGCTCACACCTGTAATCCTAGCACTTTGGGAGGCCGAGATGGGTGGATCACCTGAGGTCAGGAATTCAAGACTAGCCTGGCCATCATGGTGAAACCCAATCTTAAATAATCATCATAATAATAATTTAATTGCTTAATATGGTAAAAAAAATATATATATATATATATATAACTTAAAACTTACCAGCTTAACCGTTTTCAGGGCACAGTTCAGTATGCTCTCTTTGTTGTGCAACCATCACTACTATCCATCTCCAGAACTCTTTTAAAATCTTCCCAAAGAGAAACTCTGTACCCATCAATTAACTCCCTTTTCCCTCTCTCTTCACCCCTGCTTTCTCTTTATATAAGTTTGACTTTCCTAGATGCCTCTCATAAGTGAAATTATCCAGGTCTGTCTTTTTGTGACTAGCAGGTTTCACTTAGCAAAATGTTCTCCATGTCCATCCATGTTGTATCCCGTGTTAGAATTTCCTTTCTTTCTAAGGCTGAAGAATATTCCATTGTGTGGACCTCCCACATTGCATGTGTCTGTTTATCCACTGATGGACACTTGATGGATCCATCTGGGTGCAGAAAGAAAAAATCAGAACTTCTATGGACCTTTTCAAAGAGAAGTTGGTGTTTATAACATGTCTCAGCTTATGGCATTTGCTGGCCTGGTGGCTTTTTGAGTGAGCTGGATGAAGCCAAGAGTCACAGGAAGCAACTTTCTTTCTAACCACCATCCTGCATGTCTGCTCTGTGGGGTGTCTTCTCCTGGCTAACATCTTCCAGAATGCTATGGAAAATAATGGAACGGTGAACATGGAGCTCTGTTCCAGTCCTCACTTTCAATTCTTTTGTGTAGTTGCACAAAAAGAATTGGAATTGCTGGATCCGGTGGTAATGCTGTTTGCTTTACTATTTCAAATGTGCATTTATGCATATTGTGATACAGTTTGGTCTTTACAACAGTCCTGTGAGATAAGTAGGCATTTATCTCTGGTTCAGAAAACTGATTTCCTGAAAGCTAAATGATAAATGGAAGAGTATCCTGACCTTAAACTTGGCTTTTTTATTGCCTGTTCACCTTGAAGAGTGGTTCCAATCCCAAGTGTTACCTTCCAAGGACGACGTCTTTCTGATTGTAACCAGCTTGGTCTGCGGCCAGGCTTCTGCCCTTCCCTGCCCCGAGCCTTCTGTCCAAGTCTGTCCAGCTATGGGTCTGAGGCAGGGGATAGCTCATCCATGTCCCACTGCACGGAACAGAGGCTGTGTCCAGTGCCCCAGCAACAAAGGTTTCTCCTTTGGGTTTCTGTTTCCCTCTTTCAGTTCAGAGCCTGTCATCTGAACCATGAGGATCTGGTGGCTTCTGCTTGCCATTGGAATCTGCACAGGGGGCGTAAACTCACAGGACACGTGCAGACAAGGGCACCCTGGCATCCCTGGGAACCCCGGTCACAATGGTCTGCCTGGAAGAGATGGACGAGACGGAGCAAAGGGTGACAAAGGGGACGCAGGTACTTACCTGCAGGCGCCGGCGGCCTTTCACCTTCTCCCTTCATTCCTTTCATCTCCTTCACTCATCATCTGTGTGGTTTTCCACCTACCCACTCATACCCCACCCATTCATCCACCATCCACTCAGCAGCACTCACCGGGGCCTGACCCCATTCATCTAGCCACCCATCCACCCAGCAGCACTCACTGGCCCTCCTCCATGCCACACTCTGTGCCGGCTGCTGGTGGAGAGCACAGGATGGGGTGGACATGACCTCTGCCCTCCTGAGCTCTCTCACCTCTGATACCACAGAACACTTTCAGTAGCACATGATGTCATGGATTCGCCCACCTCAGGCGACAGGTGTGATGAATTTTTGGCAACATAAGGCCAGTAGAGATCTGATCACAAATTATTTGGCAGCAAGCACCCAGCTGCAGTGCAGGTGAGCGCTAATACCGCATGGCGCCATGAGGCAGGAGACGTGGAGTGACAGATGATGCAAAAGGAGATGAGAATCTGAGCCACACAGCTGCTGCTTATGCATGAACGACCTAGGTTGGGACCCTGTTCTAGGGTCTGGGAATTTGGGGACTGGATCCAGCCTCTGGGAGGAAGATTTCTAAAAACCGGGAAGTCTGAGTGGTTCCATAATGACAGTCGACAGACTTGGTTTCCGAATGGGATGTCATTCTTGAGCCCTGGTCTTGACTGTAGGGCACATATCTAAGACATACACAGAATGATCCATCTGGGAGCAGAAAGAAAGTATCAAAACTTCTATGGATCCTTTTAAAGATAAATTGGTGTTTCTAACATGTCTTAGCTTATGGCATTTGGTGGCCTGGTGGTTTTTTGTGGGGGCTGGATGAAGCCAAGGGTCACCAGGAAGCAACTTTATGTCTTTCTTTTTTCTTTTTTTTTGAGACAGAGTCTCACTCTGTCACCCAGGCTGGAGTGCAATGGCACGATCTCGGCTCACTGCAGCTTCTGCCTCCCAGGTTCAAGCGATTCTCTTGCCTCAGCCTCCTGAGTAGCTGGGATTACAGGCACATGCCACTGCGCCCAGCTAATTTTTGTATTTTTAGTAGAGACAGGGTTTCAACATCTTGGCCAGGCTGGTCTTGAACTCCTGCCCTCGTGATCCACCCACCTCGGCCTCCCAAAGTGCTGGGATTACAGGCGTGAGCCACCGAGCCCGGCTGCAGCTTTATGTCTTTCTAACCACCATCCTGCACGTCTGCTCTGTGAGGCGTCTTCTCCTGCCTAACATCTCCAGCTCATTCACACTGTTCCAGTCCCTGGGAAGCAAACAGCCCAGTCCCAGTGAACAGCCAAGCATTACCCTTAATGAAATCAAGTCTTCTGCCCTCACACTGGGACCACAGTGGGGTGTGTGTGTGCGTGTGCATGTGTGTGTTTTATTTCTGAATATGTAGGATTTTCATTTTCAAAATTTTTGTCATAAAATATTACACACAAAAGGCAATAAATAGGTGGATGAAAAAGACAGAGGACTGAGACAAACACTCCTGTATTCAATACCAAATTTCTCCACCTCTTCCCTGCTGAATTTCTCTACTCTTTGCTCAACAATGTCCATTCTTTCAAGTTTTACATACTCTTTAGAAGCAGACGTTGCATCTATTTTTTCTATGTAATGCGTATGTATTTTATATATAATTTCTTAGAAGAATATTCAATCGCATTGCTCACACTAAGAATTTACTTCATTTTTATCTTATCATCTTAAAGCGTATTTTTGTGTATGTTTTATAATAAACATATTTTTATACACCACCTTGGCATAATTTAGAGACACATAAATGTCTACTGATCAGGGTCTGTGTTCGTGCTTTGTGATTTGTGATTGCGTGCTCATGGGAGCTCAGAGGCCGCCACTCTAAGAGAATGGGAGAACCGACAAGCAAGCAGGGAAACCAAGAGAGAAGGAGAGGAAGACACAGGGAAACGGAGGAGGGGAGGAGGGAAGGGAGGAGCAGATGTAGGGATGACTCCCCCCTGCCCCCTTTCAGAGGCCCCACACTGACCAAGGCCCCGCTCCGGCACGCTGGTGTCCCAGAAGAACAGACATCATGACAGAAACAAGTCTGCCTGTGTCAGTCCTGTCTCAGGACCTGCAAGCCAGCCAGCCTGCCCCTGTCGCCCCACAGCCGGGTCATTGGGACTGAAGTACAGGGGTCTCTGCTGCTTTGCAAGAAGCCAGAGTCTGGGGTGAGCTGTGGTCCAGTGAGTACTGACTGCCATGGCCGGAGCCATCTTCAACCTGCTGAGGGATAGCACACCGAGCTGGGGCTCAGGGGGACCTGTTTCGAGCATCAGGACTTGACTGTGGTCAGCAGAGCCTCACTCGCCTGATGTTCTCTGCCAGGGTGATTAGTGGCATTTACCTCCACTCTAAGGCACTAGAGAGATCCTTTCAGAACTCTCTTTTTTATCTTGGGCTAGTGTCACATAATCATAGTCATCCGCGTTTTGGGAGGAGCCTAGCAAATCTTCCATTCCACCCTACTCAGAGAGATGGAAGAGGAACAGAGTGAGGAAACCACCCCACACCTCCAACCTTCAGATCACAGCCTGAGTCCTTGTCACAGGAGAGGAAGGGACCGTTACTCCGCATGGCTCACAATCCTTCCTTGCCCTGTCTTGCTGTGTGCTCTAGGCACGTCCCAGAGATGGGCGCTTGGGAAGTCATTCAGTTCATTTCTCTTTTTTTTGAGATGGCGTTTCGCTCTTGTTACCCAGGCTGGAGTGCAATGGCGCGATCTCGGCTCACCGCAACCTCCGCCTCCTGGGTTCAGGCAATTCTCCTGCCTCAGCCTCCTGAGTAGCTGGGATTACAGGCACGAGCCACCACGCCCAGCTAATTTTTTGTATTTTTAGTAGAGACGGGGTTTCAGCATGTTGACCAGATGGTCTTGATCTCTTGACCTCGTGATCCACCCGCCTCGGCCTCCCAAAGTGCTGGGATCACAGGCTTGAGCCACCGCGCCCGGCCTGCACTCAGTTCATTTCTTAGATCACTTATTCTGCACAACTCAGCACCCCAGATGTCCACTCATGCCTGCCTCTCTCCATCTGCACTCGTGTGGGGGACGGAGCACCCCTCGGGGTGGGGGTCACCCCCAGAATCTCCAATGCACATGGCTGATGGAGACCAATGGCCAGAAAAATCAGAAACCGAATTTTAACTCATGCCTGTTTCCTTCTTTTCCACCTAGGAGAACCGGGACATCCCGGCAGCCCGGGAAAGGATGGGACGAGTGGAGAGAAGGGAGAACGAGGTTAGAAGTTCCGGTTTATGGTGCTCTAATTCTGAGCTGTGGAGGATTTAACAGTCACAATTAAGTGTTTACCAGGGAAAAGTCCTCCATGCTGAGTGTGATCTTACGATGAAGGCAACATAGTTCTTACTCTCCAGAGGGGGAGATTCTGCCGGGATTGGCAGGCTTTGTCTAGGGCTGGGTGGTAAATATTCTTGGCTCTGCAGGCCAGACAGCTCTGTCACTGCTACTCAGCTTCTCCTTGTAGCGAAAAGAAGCTGTAGATGCTCCATAAATGAGCATGGCTGTGTTCCAGTGATGCCGTATGTGTAAAGACTGAAATGGGAATTTCACCTGGTTTCCATGTATCACGGAATATTATTGGCGATCATTTAAACATGCAAACCATGGCCAAGCACCATGGCTCACACCTGTAATCCCAACACTTTGGGAGGCCCAGGTAGGAGAATCGCTTGAACCTAGGAGTTCTAGACCAGCCTGGGCAACATAGTGAGACTTTGTCTATGCAAATAAAAAAAATTAGCTGGGCATGGTGACACATGTCTGTAGTCCCAGCCACTCAGGAGGCTGAGGTGGAAGGATTGCTTGAGCCTGGGAGGTTGAGGCCACTGTGAGCCATGATCTCATCGCCGCACTCCAGCCTGGGTAACAGAGCAGGGGACCCTGTCTCAAACAAACAAGTAAAACCCCAGAAAAACAAAACCAAGAAACACCCACGTAAACCATGTTTGTTCAGCTTGTGGGAGGGAGGCTGAATTTGGCTTGTGGCTATAGTTTGCTGAACCTTGAACCTTGCTTCAGCGGATGAGCTCCGAGGAGTGAGATTGAGTTTTTGACTTGGTGCATCTGGCAGCACTGTGTGGAAGAGGTGGCACTGGAACTGGTCCCTCAAGGGTAGGGAGGACTGTGGCAGCCGACGGGTTGGGAGGTAGTCATAGCAGCAAACTCATGTAATCTTCACTTTGTGCTTCTCACGTACTGACTCACTGAATGCAATATCCCAAGACACTAGGCAGTCTTATTATCCCAGTTCCATAGGTGAGGGAACAGAGGCGCGGGGTGTTCACTAGCTCGCCTGATGTCCCGTGCGCGTATGTGGTGGGACAGAATGGAAAGCTGGCATTGGACCTCAGAGCCCACACTTGCGACCATGGCTCTTCAGTATGGGTGGGGGTGCGAGGGAGCAGCAAGGTTTCTGTAGAATGATGAATTGCTGGTGGGATGGAGGGGTTGGGCGTGGGTTGGGCAGAAGAGGCCAGTGAGTGCCTCGATGCAGACTTTATTTTATGTTCCTTCCAAGGAAGAGGTTTTGAGAGGATGTCAGATGACTAGCGTTGAATGTTAATCTGCCTGTCTCTGCTCACGGATTGACATTATTTAATAGTCAGCATGGTAGACTTACATGGTAGAGTTGTAATTTCTAACATGAGCCCTGATGCTAATTTAGTAGACAGTAGTCAAAAGGTGTGATGGGGTGTGTTGTGTGTCCATGAGCACACACATGTGTAACTGGAGTTGATTGATTGATTGATTGAGACAGGGTCTCACTCTGCTGCCCAGGCTGGAGTGCAGTGGTTTGATCATGGCCCACTGCAGCCTCAACCTCCTGAGCTCGAGCAATCCTCCCACCTCAGCCTCCCGAGTAGCTGGGACAACAGTTGTGTGCCATCACGCCTGGCTAATTTTTGTATTTTTTTGCAGAGATGAGGTTTTGCCATGTTGCTTGAGCTGATACTGAATTCCCAAATCAGATAGTCTGCCCAACTTGGCCTCTCAAAGTGCTAGGATTACAGGCTGGAATAACTGAATTTCATTTATTTATTTATTTATTTAGAGACAGGGTGTTGCTATGTTGGCCAGGTTGGTCTTGATCTCTTGGCTGCAGACAATCCTCCCGCCTCATCTCCCAAGGTGTTAAGATTACGGGCGTGAGCCACCGTAGCCAGATGGAGTAATTGAATTTTCTTTTTTGAGACTGATTCTCACTCTGTCACCCAGGCTGGAGTGCAATGGCATGATCTCGGCTCATTGCAACCTCCACCTGCCGGATTCAAGCAATTCTCCTGCCTCAGCCTCCCAAGTAGCTGGGATTACAGGTGTGCACCACCATACCTGGCTAATTTTTATATTTCTAGTAGAGACGGGGTTTTACCATGTTAGCCAGGCTGGTCGTGAACTCCTGACCTCAGGTGATCTGCGCGTCTTGGCCTTCCAAAGTGTTGGGATTATAGGCGTGAGCCACCGTGCCCAGCCGGAGTAACTGAATTTTAAACTCTGGGCATATACTGAACCTGTGCACGGCTTTGTTTCATTTGTGAGCCCAATTATAGAAAAACCAAAGTTGTTCACAAGGGAATCGTTCACAAACCGTCTCTATTTGCTGTTTATTTAGGAGCAGATGGAAAAGTTGAAGCAAAAGGCATCAAAGGTGATCAAGGCTCGAGAGGATCACCAGGAAAACATGGGCCGAAGGGGCTTGCAGGCCCCATGGGAGAGAAAGGCCTCCAAGGAGAGACAGGGCCTCAGGGGCAGAAGGGGAACAAGGGTGACGTGGGTCCCACTGGTCCTGAGGGGCCAAGGGGCAACACTGGACCTTTGGGCCCAACTGGTTTACCAGGCCCCATGGGCCCTATTGGAAAGCCTGGACCCAAGGGAGAGGCTGGACCCATGGGGCCCCAGGGTGAGCCAGGAGTCCGGGGAACAAGAGGCTGGAAAGGGGATCGAGGCGAGAAAGGGAAAATCGGGGAGACTCTAGTCTTGCCAAAAAGCGCTTTCACTGTGGGGCTCACTGTGCTGAGCAAGTTTCCTTCTTCAGATGTGCCCATTAAATTTGATAAGATCCTGTTTAATGAATTCAATCATTATGACATCACCACGGGGAAGTTCACCTGCCACATTGCCGGGGTCTATTACTTCACCTACCACATCACCGTGTTCTCCAGGAACGTTCAGGTGTCTTTGGTCAAAAATGGAATAAAAATACTACACACCAAAGACGCTTACATGAGCTCCGAGGACCAGGCCTCGGGCGGCACCGTCCTGCAGCTGAGGCTCGGGGATGAGGTGTGGCTGCAGGTGACAGGAGGAGAGAGGTTCAATGGCTTGTTTGCTGATGAGGATGATGACACAACTTTCACAGGGTTCCTTCTGTTCAGCAGCCCGTGACAGAGGAGCGTTTATAAATCCGCCACACCATCCATCAGCATCAGCTTGGTGACCAACTTATTCTGATGATTTTACTTTATTAATTCCTCCGATTATTGCAAGAATTATAAACGGAAAAGTTATTCCTAAAATTGACTCTGTGTAACTTACTGTCTTTCCAGGAGTAAATGTTTAAAATAACCGCACGGTTTATTCTAATTCATTTCTCGCACGATCATTCCTATTATCTGAAAAATCCTTTGCCTGTGTGTTGCTTGCGGGAAGAGTGTTTTGATATTGTTTTAGTGCTCTGGGGAGTCACGTGAAGATGTATCCCCCATCTGTGTTTCTGAGGACATTAAGGGGAAAGTTAAGGGAAATGTTTATTACATTTAGTACTAGTAACAGCTCGAAGCTGGTGATGCTGTCACAGCCCAGAAAGCTGTAGGCACTGCTCATTTTGTCTTTTTAAAAATGTTTTCTTTTAAGTTCTGGGATACATATACAGAATGTGCAGGTTTGTTACACAGGTAACCACGTGCTGTGGTGGTCTGCTGCACCTATCAACCCATCACCTAGGTATTAAACCCTGCATGCATTAGCTATTGTCCTGATGCTCTTCCTCCCACTTTGCTCATTTTCTAACCTAGGTGTTTTTTTTTTCTATTGTTTGTTTTGTTTTGTTTTGAGATGGAGTCTTGCACTATCATCCAAGCTGTAGTGCAGTGGCACAATCTTGGCTCACTGCAATCTCTGCCTCCTGCGTTCAAGCAATTCTCCTGCCTCAGTCTCCCCAGTAGCCAGGACTACCGGCATGCACCCCCATGCCCAGCTTATTTTTTTTGTATTTTTAGTAGAGACGGGGTTTCACCATGTTGGCCAGGATGGTCTCCATCTCCTGGTGATCTGCCTGCCTTGGCCTCCCAAAGTGTTAGGATTACAGGCGTGAGCCACTGCGCCCGGCCAACCTAAGTTTTAATCATCATTCTATCCAGCAAATTGTTGTTTGGTCATTATTTGCCAGACTTGAATCTCTATTTGTTTTCTAGAATTGCCCTACCAAAGTACACAAATTGGAAGGCTTTAAACAACAGTAGTGGACTTTCTCACAGTTCTGTAGGCTAGAAGTTTGAGATCACGGTATCAGCAGGGCCGTGCTCCCTCCAAAGGGGCTACAGGAGGATGGGCCTTGCTGCTTCCAGCTTCTGGCAGCTGGTGGCAGCATCTCTCCAGTTCTCGCCTCCATCTCCAGGTGGCTGTCCTCCTGTATCAGCCAAATATTCCTCCTCTTACAAGGCAGCTTCCCTAATCTAGTATGACCCATCTTAATCATATCTGCAAACTCCCTATTTTCAAAGAAGGTCACACGTACAGGTACCAAGGATTAGGACTTTGGCATCTCTTTTGGGAGACACGGTTCAACCTGCAACAATCCGCTTTCTGGTTCCCAAAGTTGATTTCCTTCCCGTGTGTAAAACATTTTTGCCCTATCTCAACATTTCCAAAAGTCTTAACACTTTCCGAATCAACTCTTCTCACCATCTACATCATTTAAATAACTTAAGGGGAGACCTACAGTGTGAGATTCATCCTGTGGCAAAATTTCTCTCCATCTGTGATCCTGTGAAACCAGACAAGTTAATCCGCTTCTAAAAGAGAGTGTTAGGAGGGGGCAGGCATAGGACAGACAGTCCATTCCAAAACGAAGAAAGGGGAGGAAAAAAGGGATCATGGGTCCCAAGCAAATCTGAAACCCAGGAGGAAAAATTCCATTACCCTTCTTTCACTATTTCCCATCTCAAATTTGTAAATGAGCTATGCAAGAGTAAAGACAAGTTACCGGGCCGGGCGTGGTGGCTCAAGCCTGTAATCCAAGCACTTTGGAGGCCAAGGCGGGCGGATCACCTGAGGTCGGGAGTTCAAGACCAGTCCGACCAACATGGTGAAACCCCGTCTTAAAAAAAAAAAAAACCCAAAAAACCAAGTTACTGGACAGAGATACCAGACAGAAGTGCAGGATGAATTTACCAAGAGAGTAGGTTAAAAGGGAAAGGTTTATGGTGGGCATTTCAGGTTTACTCAGGTACCTACCATCTCTCCCCTCTGGTAAAGAGATCCCAATGTCCATTCGAATTCGAATGGGTCCTGATTTTGCCCTCCAGCCTCGTGGGAGGGAAACGCAACCCTAGCCTTTTCTTACTCCGGACACAGGGGGCGCTACACCGCGACGACGGCCGAGACGGTAGGGGAGCGACGCTCTTGCTCTCTGGACGTCGACGTGCCCACGTCCTGAGCCCTGGCCCCCGACACGGAAGCGGGGCCGTCACGTGCGGCGGCGTGAGCCGCTGCCTAGGAAACGCGGAGCGCGCGCTCCGGGCGAAAGCTGGGGCGCGGGAGTAGGGGTCTCGCGGCGAGGAAGGGACTGCTCCGGGGACGCGATGCTGTGCACCGGAAGGCTGGGCGGCTTCGGAGCCAGAGCAGCGGCTCTGCGGCCCGGGCGGGCGGGTCGGGGCAGCCTCGGAGCCGCGGTCCGGGCCCGAAGGGTCAGCACTAGCTGGTCTCCGGTGGGCGCCGCCTTCAGTGTCAAGCCCCAGGGCAGCCGCTGGGACCTGTTCGGCGAGCGCCGGGTGAGCGGCGCAGGAGCTCCCGTCGGTCCCCAGAGCTGAGCTGGTTTGGGCCTGGGAGGAAGCCGGCAGCGAATCCAGCTTGTACCGTGGGGTCTCGTGTGCGCTCTGGGTGACGGGCAAGGTCACCTCTGCTTTGAGGGGCCGGGTTTAGTGGTCTCTTCCCCAGAGTGGCGGGTCCAGGAAGTGCCTCTGCATGAGCCCCTTGCTGCACGTGAATCTGAATAGTTCGTCCTGTCTACACTCAGCCGCACCCCCCGCTAAAGCCCTTTAGTTCCAGCGCTACACGCCTGTCTTAAGAGGCCTAACCCTGTGCGTTCGCAGGCGGTGTCACGTGGTCTTTTGCAAGTAACACGGGTGCCTCAGTCGAGTAATGGTAATTTCTTTGATAACCGAAATTCCAGCACGTATTAATTTATTTCAAAGCTTTGGGCTTTCTTGTTGTAAAACACAAAACTGTTGAGACGAGTCTGACTTCCTAGAGTGCCATGGAACTGGTCACTTTGATTTCTTACCCCTGCAAGTCACTAGACTGCATTGTTTGCTTCTTATTTATATCTGTACCTACCATGCATTCAGTAGGCACTCAGTAACTGTTCAGTGGGTGAATGAAAGGTGAGAGAAAGGCAAGGTTAGAAAGGACTTAACCTGATTCCTGTTCTACTTTTGTCCACGTTAGGTTAAGGATTACTTTTATTTTTGCCTTTTAAAATTTTATTATACTATATTGCCTTATAAAGAGGAATCCAGGATACTGTTGCACTGAGCTAGAGGGTGTGTAATTCTTATTTTGTCTCTGTTACTGTATCAGCTTTGTCTATTTTAAAATTATTTTGTGTGAAATGTGCTACCCCACCTTCCTTAAGGGTATGTAATATTGGTATTAACATAATTGGTGTGAGGAGAACGAGGGGAAGCCTGATTGGGGGTGGATGAGATATAACTAATTTTAGCTATATTTTTCTCTTTAGTGTCATGGTATTAGGCACTGATAGCAGATTTTCAAATTTGTGATTGGTTTTTTTTCCTTGAAAGAAAAAAAAACGGTTTATTCAATTTTTTGAGCATTGTGGTCAGTGGTAATCTGAGAGTTAGAATTCCCAAGAGCAGTATGGGCATGTTGTACTGGGAAGTGGAAGTAGCCTGTGCTCGAATCAAATTAAATCAATATAAAGATGACATTTGTTTTTGATACTGATTCTGCTTTGTCCCCAACTGACACTTTTTTTTTTTAAACTTGTAATATATTTTGAAGATAAATTAATAGCTTAACTTCATGCTATCATCTCTTCTTGTAGAAACAGTAGGCCTTATCAGGCCTGAAGGTTTTTTGGCATTTTCGAAAATCTGTGTTAAGCACCTACAAAGCTAATTAAGGATGTCTAGCATCCGCTCCTAACATTTGTTTCCTTCATTGAGTTCCTCCATATGTTAGACGTTCTTCGGATCGCTGGTTAAAGAAATGAAGGTCAGGGCTCTTGGGGCTGGAAGCTCAGCTTTTCAGGAGAGAAGACTTTTAAACAGATACATTGTAACAGGGAAGTATGGAAAACTGTGGGCTTCAGGGATGTAGAGAGCGGGTTCAAGTTCTGTCTTTCCCAGGATTAAATGGTGACTCCAAACAAGTTTTTTCTAACCTCTTAAAGCATATGTCCTAATCCATAAAAGAATGATACTTCATTCTGTAGGATTGTGTGATTTAAATGAGAACCTATGTAAAGTAGGTTCCCATTAGATCGTGATTTTTGCTTTTATCAAGATACTGAAATGTCTTTGGAAAGTATAAAATTTGCTGCCGGTTTCAGCCTATGATTTTAATATGTTCATTACATTTTTCTAAAATATCTATTGCTTGATAGTCAACTCATCCTATTTTATAGTTGTAGAATAGTTAGTTCTATGTAGTGAGATCTGTCAGGTACCGCTTTTAGTACTTTATATATACTTAGTATCTGTATCCATGCTGTAAGGTATGTTTGGTAATAACGTAATTGCTGTGAGGAGAATTATTTGTAGGCACTGAACAGAAAGATGTGAGGGGGAAGCCTGATTTTGGGTGGATGAGCTATAACTAATTTTAGCTTTATTTTTCTCTTTTGTATCATGATATTGGACACCGATAGCAGATTTTCAAATTTGTGAGTTGGTTTTTGCCTTGAGAAAAAACCAGTTTATTCAGTTTTTTAGGGTTAAGGTCATCATTCCCATTGTACATGATGAAAAAAATAAGCGGCCTAGGAGGAGAAACAACATGGCCAGCGTTATAAGCTAATAATTATGGCTAACGTCTATTAAATGCTGTGTGCCGAACACTGCTATATATATATTTATACATATATGATCTCATTTAATCCTTGCAGCCACTCTTAGGTTCTGTAGAAGTGACAGAGCTGGATTTTGAACCCATACCACTCAGTTTTTGTTTTTCAGAAACTAAGAATTGAAGGAAAATTATGTTCATAAAACATTTTTTGTGTAATTTATGTGGAGTGATATGCGGAGTATGATAGTGGTATCCGTGATCACAGATATAACATGATACATCAAAGAAAACCAAGATTTCCTTCGTGATAAAG